TTAAAATAATATTTTAATTAATTTTAATTTTAAATAGCTATATATAAAGAATATATTATTAAAAAATATATAAATATAATTATTATTTTATTATATAATAATTATAAAGTTTTATATCTCTATAATTAATAAATAATTTTAACTTTTATTTAATATAGAGATAAAACATTAATATATCTTTATTATATTTATCTAAAAAATATATTATATATTATATATTTTAATAATCTTTTACTTTTATTATAAGATCAAATAAAGGCCGAGAGTTTCTTGATTGTTAGACTGATTCAGCCGCTAACTAGCGATATTAGATAAATGGAATGGCCATCTATTCTCCAAACTCATCGGATGGCCGGTGATTTGGGGGAATCATTATTCCATTTCATTCCGAATACAGCCTAGCTTGGTTTCACACTAGAGCTGCTGAAACAATCAAAAGGTCGCACGTGCTAACTTGTGAAACAGCTGGTTGATCTTGTCACTGGCCGAAACAATATTGGAAAACTCCTGTCATTATCAATGCAGACATAGCCAAAAATAAAGCTTGACCTTTTCATTATAAATGTCGAGGTTACGAACAGCACCGCTCCATTCTGCCGCACAGAGACTGAGACGCAAAGGTTATGGGACTACACGAGTTCATAAGCTTCGGCCACGAGTTTGAGGAAGTGTACACGACTAGCCAGGTAGACAGCAGCAATGGACATCAGAGGGTTGTCTCATATCGATTCAATGATTTGAACCTCTTACTGAGATATGAAACAGACGGATGCATCGGTATACCAGCAAAGGTAGAAAAGGATGTGGATATAGAAAGTGACACTTTATCCAGTATGATAGAGTCCTTGTCACATCATCCCACCGAGAGCCCTTCTTGTGGCACTCCCACGAAGTTCAGATTAAGAGTAAAGCAAGAAGGCCGAAGCGTACCAATTGAGTCGACACTCGAGGCTTTTGTAACCCAATCGACATCCAAGAAGCCCCCGCAGTTGTGGGTATCCGAAACCCCCAATCTTGTCTGTGCGTACGATAGGCATGGAGGGTTCCAGCGACCAAAACCTGAAAATGCTGCAACTGAGATCAGAAAATAGGAAAATGAGCACCAGGATGATCTTGTAAAATTGGCCGCCCTCATAAAGAGAGTTATCAGTGTGGTAAAAAATGGCGGTGGAAAGCTGTTGTCAAATATGATGACCAAGGCCATAAGTTAGTGATCTGGAGGACAGACAAAAGAAAGTTTTTGCCGGAGGACATCTACTCTAAGCTGAATAAGACGGCCAATCTGATATCAGAGCACAAGGAAAACTCGCTCATGGCTGTTGGATTAGAGCTCCAGAAAGCCAAATAGGATATTGGGGCCTTATGTATGATATTAATTCATACTTTCCTTATTAGTTTCCCATACACGGCTCAACTGCAAGCTACAGCGCTCAACTATGACTCTATTACTCTAACTGTTACCGCAGTCTAAGTACTCAAACTGGGCTATCGATATTGTGTTACTGCATAAGTCAAACCAAATTATGATAGTCATCCAAAAAAGCCAATGGGTTCTTTTGTTCTGGCTAGCCTTTATATACTTTTCGATGGATACATAGTCAATGGCTCGCTGAGATCCGACCCGACAGTGATCGGCTGTGGTTGTTGATTGCCATTATTCTGTAAGGATGTTCTTGTTCCATTACTTTTCCTAGAGAGCACATTGGCACGCCCTGGCTGTTGTATTTCACTTACCATTGAACTTTTTAGAGAATGAATTGAATAAATATTTCGAAGAAAGAAAGCCCCTATAGCTACCAGGTATACAATGTGGACATTCATTAAGAACATGTAGCAGCCTTATGAAAGAATAACTAGACGAGAAAGGCGGAAACTCCTCAGCTCATCTTGTATGGCTGGAATCTTCTATCTCAGGCAAAGATGGTGTAGCATTGTACCAAGATGACTCCTTATAAAAGCCACAGTCACCAGAGGCACAGTCAAAAAATGGTGTGCACTGTTTTTGAGGATTAGCGCGTGAGATTCGACTCAGGCGACCGCATTGACAGAGGGGATTTTGGTCGAGCACGCCTCTTGTGTCGGCCCAACTATGGAAACGTCCACAAGTAGGGCATTTAAAAAATGGTCGTCCGCCATGTCCATTCGGATTCCATGGTTTGACGTAGATTAAAACAGTTGGAGTTCGGCATGCCTTGCACAATCTATTCCCAACAGATGACTGTGGCAGTGGGTCCATTTCCTTTGGGATTGCCAATATATGACCATCGGTTCTTGTGGACAGACTGTGGGTTGTTCCAGAATAGTGATTATATTGCGTTGCACCGGCAAGGTTCTCATTGTTGTGCGGGATACGCAAGTTGGCTAAACGTAGTTAGCATGATCACTTTAGAGCACAGGATGAGCTTACCATTTGAGGTACTCATAGGCTCTGCAGATCGATTATAGCATTTTTTTGAACGATTAAACAGAGTCTTAAACCTCATTGTAGAATAGGTCTGCAGTTGAGAATAAAAGATAGGGTCTTAATGGGTCTATTCTAGAATAAAAAAAAAACTAGGTTGTACCCGGGAAGATGCAATGGTTTTGTTTGCTATATATACCTGTCATGAGCTTCATAGTCAGATGATCTCTAGCTGCACAGCCTTAGACTTGGAGTTTCCCCATGGGCTGACGAGAGAAACTAGCGGTCTAGCTGTACAATGTACCTTGTGGCCCTATTTTGCGAGCCTTCTATATATATATATTATTAAAAGCTAATATTGGTTATGAAGGGTGTCAGTTTCTAGCCTCGTCAGGCCCACAGTGATCTGAAATAAACCAGAAAAGTCTTTTGTTAAACCCCATTTGCATGCATGAGGGGCTGTAGATGGCTAAAAGTATTAGTCATTGATTTGAAGCGGGGGAAAACATTCGCCGGAGAGAGCAGGACTCGAAGAGCCTGTTGCTTATCAGCGTATGAGCCGGTCAGATTCAGCCCATCGCAAGGCGTACAGCTATGTGACTATCATGGGCATTGTATGCTAAGGTCATTCAACCATATAGGTCAAAGAAACAGCGGTGAAGTTGCTGAAAGTATAAAGGGTGAAGGGCGGCGCCTGTTAGGCCAGCAAGGCAATCCTACTTTGTCATGACTGGTTTGCGTTTGTGTTGACGATCTTGTGAGTTGGACAGACCTATGAGATGTTCCACAAGACTGCGATTATCTCATCTCAGATCATGCCTCAAATGAGGATTCTTCGTGCCCTTTTTCTTATGAGGGACATCCACCACATCTGGTTTTTTTATGGTGATAAGGCAATGACTGAGAACAGTTAATGTAGACGTAATAGCTGCGTGGGGTGCAGTACCACATTGTCAGAAAAGTATACGAACAGCCCCTGTCAGACAGCCTTGCCATATCGGGTCAGAACATTACCATCAACTTACCTTTCATGTTTACGAGCGAAATGAACGGGACCAGACCGACACAGTAACCGGGGAGCCTGAAAATCCAGTAGAAGCATAAATTTGACTGGACTATACGTATTTCAAGTCTTTTCTAATATAAATGGAAAATCGGTAACCGGTGACAGATACCTTCGAATCATTTTTAGCTCTACTTAGATGTCTATTCTTCTATTGATTCCAGATGGTAAACCAAGGCAGAGTACAGCAAGCAAGGCGATGAGGCTGTAAGCCATCGCGGTCAGAAGGGCACTGACTTGGCTGACGGGGCGTCTCACCATCGACTTAATTAAACATGGGCCAATTGACGCGAAGGCCCTGGTTCATTATTCTTGCGCGTGTGCTGGTATACATTTCTCGTATTAGGAAAATTCCGCATGGAATTACCCATCGATAATTACCAACCATAAGCAAATAGAAACTCCAACCCTAACGTTATAGTTCCATTTGCCATCGCCTGGCTGACTGCAACTCGGGGTCCTTCTCCACCAACGTTCGCTCAGCATCATCAAGATACCGAGGTCGTCGCTGATCAATCCAACGACTCATCCGAGTGAATTCATGAACCGGATCAAGACCATACATGATCTCCTGCAAACGGGCATGTTGTCGAGTCTGGTAGTGTTTGATAAATGTTCTGCTGGTGGTATGTGCCATTATAACATTACGTTGCGCCTCGCTGACGTATCTGGGCACGAAGATCAACAGATAGCTTACTTGGATTGACGATTGGACTACCAACATGGGAAAAGGTTATGAACAGTCACTTACCGCTCTGGTCTATCAATTCCCTGTCCCCCTGTAACGGAATTGGTGCGAGAAAAAAAGAGTTGAGAAACCTATGTATATCGCTGACAGTCCTTAATTGAGCATCAAGGGCACCTTCCGTCAGGCGTGTCTCCCAGAGAATACGAGGCTGGCTGGTAACAACAGCAACGTTCGGGAAGACAAAGTAGTTTTGTATCTCGGGTTTCAAAGGAAGTGGCAATTCTTGTCGTCACCCTCAACGAGCAGCCGTCGAAGATCTGCCAAAGATTTAAGATTAGGGTCTCAAATGTACCAATATAGAATAAAATGATAGAAAGCAATACATGTGGGCTAAAAACAAGAGACACGCCATAAACAACCTCAGGAGGTGCAAATGTATTGCTATTTCGTGAACCAGTAGGAAAGCTTTATAAAGGGAGGAGTGAGCTATGTAGCGCCTACAAACTTGTTATTTCAAGAACACTCTTCACAAACTGGGGTTCGATTTCAATCATCGGCTTGGGAGGACCACTGTGGGGATCCCGCTGGAGAGTCAATCGAATATGTTTAAACTGGAGTAGGTATATAGCATTTTTCCTGTTGACGGTAAACAACTATATGCAGTTGTACAAGCAAAGGCTAACTGTTAAAATCCCAAGTGGAACTGTTCCTAATGGGTTTGAAGGATCGTCTCGCTAAAGGGCACCATGTCTTCGATGCATATGGGAATATTGGCCCGTGGCTGTTTGTCCAAGTTATAGTTATCCATCAAGCTCCTTATATCCTGTCTATACGGGTCAGAGCTAGCTATTATCTAGGGCACACGGGGGTGAGACGCGGGAACATACAGTACGGGCCGCCTTGCCCATCTCATGGCTTATCTCATGCTGAGTGACTCGGCTGTAGTAAAGTCGGAAGTACTTCCAGTCCCCATCAATGGCACTAGCTTTTTTGAAACCTTTTAAGCAATGTCTATTTTCGGGGTTGTACTGGAGCTTGAGGCACCAGTTGAGAAATCGATACATATTATTTGCAGTGGCTTGCCGCAGCGCGTCTTCTGTATCGTTCCATTTCGAGTCGGCTGATGGCTGGATTGTTTTGGCCTCACAGCACCTAACTGTGTGTCAATCAGCTGCTGTTCTAGAAGCGCTCAAGCGAAGGCAACGGTTTGGACTCCGGTCGACTTCTGTAGTAACTGACAAAGACCAACGCTTCTTCAGTCGAAGGTGCAAGTTTCTAGTCTTTTGAGGCCTTCTATGATCCTCCGGTACCTCGGACAAATCCTCTTCTGTGTTATCGGCTGGAATTTCGTACCGAGAGCGATGCATCAGTCTTATGGCTGACACGCTCATATCTGTGCTTGGATTCGCTACAGAAGACGCGGTGATGCCGGCATCCAAAGACTATTGAGGCCCATCATGTGGGCCTACTTTTCTCCTTTTGGATTTTCGAGGTGCTGGCGAAAGATGTTCGGATTCTGTCAGTTCCGTATCAGAATCCGGGCAATACAGCCTATCGTTATTCGTGCCTGCTGAGACACTGGAAGTCTCACTCAAGGCGGCTTCAAGGCCGTGAACTTTGACTCGTTTCCGTCGAGGCATAGCCAGGGATCTATACCGACGACGGAGCACTGCAGGCAAGGAAGCTGATGTGAATGCTATGGTCCCGTACTGGAAAGGAGCAGCAGCAGCAGCAGCAGCAGCGAATAGCGACGAAAAATATATGTAGATGGGGTCAATGTGATGAAGGATACGGTTGTCCTAGTGGACATGGATTGGGAACGGCAGAAACTCCACTTACGTCAAGTAGACGCCAGTCGAAACCAAGCCGGTTAGATGTTGAGAACGCCATTTTTCAGCCCTCTTATAAGCATCGGGCAGGACAGTGCGCAAAGTGACAGAAGTATATTTTCACAGAATAATAATCTTTTAGATGCTAGCTGTCCGTGACCGGCTATCGTCGTTCTATGATATTTTGCTTTGCGTGTCCGCCTTTGATAAGGTACGCTAGACAAGGGTCTGTAACACTGAGAAGGAACAGTAGAAGTGAGATGGCTCAGAAATCCATATAATGAGGGAGAATTAAATAAGGTACATGGCTTTACCTGGGAAGTATATCTGCGGACTGGGATATCACAGGTGAAGTCATGTGAACTATCAGAAACTAATCAATGCTTTATATTTTCTCCATACTATTCATACTACTTATATAACACAATGGAGATTGTCAAGACCGCCTGCACAAGGATATCTCTTTAGACTCGCCCAAAATCCGGACGGGATAGAATAAATGGTAACATGGGACTCTCACATGCTTATCACATCCGAAACAGTTCAACCATTCAGCTTTCGCTAACTGGTGGAAAAGGTGGTGAAGCACAGCTGCCAAGAGACTGGGCGTCTGACTGAATAGAGCTATGTACCAATTAGAGAGCTGGCAGCGCCGATGGCCTAGGCAGACGTGGATAGGCATAGGTGTTTACTTTGGCCCATCACCGCGGGGTGGTAGATATGGTAAGTCACCCCCTCCAAAACATACCCATACTAAGCGTACGACGACTTGGCATCATTATCTGCACTTACCCTGCAGGGGCACGCAGCGAGGTCTTGACCGTGCAGAAGCCACACGCCGGGAGGTTAGTAGTTGGGTGGGTAACCACCAGCGAATCCTTTCTGTTGTATGTTTTTTTCTTCGCCTTTTCAACGCACTGCTGTTGCTATTTAGCTGTTGTTTAACTTCCCATGCATGGTACAGAGTAATAGCCTGCATGCGAGAGATTACAACAACAATCCAAGTAAGCTGCCAAGGCACGGTGAGGTCGTGATAGAGACGTATCTCAGCATGGTTACCCAAAATTGCCAAGAAATTTCTAACAACGATGCTGCTCTCCTACTGCCCGCGTCTCCTTTACATCAGTTTCAATATTTCAGCAATCCCCCAACTTGATGCAACTGTTACTGCAGCTGGTAGAATTCTGACTGCTGAACCTATATAGGCCGCTTTCATTTCATTTCAAATTAATTTGAAACATGTGATAGAGGGCCCAAGGTGAGCAGTCTTCAGGACCAATCATCCCGTTTCTCCAAGATGCGTCCTCCATTCCATACTTTCTAGCTAACCTGATTAATATGATGTTATCCGGCTTCAGAAAGTGCAATAGAATGGCAAACGAGACAAATATGTCACACCCGGCAAAATTAAATCTTCTTTCAAACTTTGGATTGGAAAGCGACTTTTTGGACGAGTGGGATATACAGGAGTCAGAATTAGCCCCCACAGAATTATCAAAGGGCCATGCGAAATAACAGAGCTTGCAGCATTGAAATATGTCGCAAGCACACATCCATACATGTCCCTAAGGTCTTGAATGTTTATCATCACCGCGATGGGCTCTATCTTGAAATGGGCTATGTCAGTGGAATAGATCTTCGAGCAGCTTGGCTTGGAGGCTGTCTATCAGAAGACCAGAAGAGACACATTATTACCGAGGTTACAGGCTATGTCAGCCAGCTTCGGAGTTTCGAGCCACCACGTAAAGGAATCGTTGGTTCAGCGGATCTTGGAGCATGTCTTGACCATCTTGTCGGGTCGTGTACTTTCGATCCATTTAATGAGCATGCAGAATTCCACTCGTTTCTTCGGAGGCATATTCGTATCGAGAACTGCACACAAGTATTTGGCGAAGAAGTCACTGAGTGTCACTCCCGTCATTATCGACGCTACTTTACTCACACTGACCTCTGTCCCCGAAATATTATTATAGAGAATGGGAAAGCTTCAGCAACCATTGATTGGGAGTTTGGTGGCTGGTATCCGGAATATTGGAAATATACCAAAGCACAATTCGGTCAGATCGAGATGCCAGAATGGTACGAAGGATTGGCATCTGCTATGGCGAGGTACGACATTGAGCTGAGAGCTGAACGAGTTCTCTGGAAACGATGTGATCTACCAGGAATGCTACTTTAACAGTTATTACTGGTCACTATTATGAAAGGTCCGGTGGCACTTACGGGGGGCATCGATTCCAAGCAGTGCCCTGATCAATGCCACAAGCTCATTATCATCGAAAGCAGGCAAGCAAACGCGTTGCACGCTAGACACCAGTCGCTTGGTGTTGAAATCTGGCCTAAAGAGTCTGGGCTTCTCATTGCGACCACGGAACGCTTTCATGCCTTCAAAGCACTGTGTCGCGTAGTCGACACCTGCCATGAGTCAAGACTTCCAAATCGTTGCACACTCAGGCAGGGCCCATTTCACCATCCATTCAGACGCCAGAACCTCCTTAGTAGAAAGGCGACTTTCGGGCTTGAAAGAAAGCATTGGCCTGAGCATGGAGAAAAGGGCATCTCTTTCGGCTGGCTCAAATAGCGGCATTCCTTCCGCCTGTCGAGGCTGCTGCACACTGTCTTCGAAACGATCCTCCCATGATTGATACGGCCGGCAATCTATCGGCTTCCCATCTTCGCTGAACATATTTCGACGCACCTCCCATTTGTTCCACCCGTCAGGGGGCAGAATACCAAGTGCATCAACATGCTCGCAGGCTATATCGTCCTCGGTCGCCAGAAAACCTTCAAACAATGGGTTTTGGCCAATAATATCCCAGATTGAGCAGGCAAGCGACCAAATATCTGAGGGAAAAGAAAGCGGGTTGGCTGATTCGAAACGAGTCTCCGGGGCCCGGTTTACAAGAGGAGTATGCGACTCAAATTTTTTTTCCCTTGTAGGAGAGAATGCCTCACCGAAGTCGGAGAGCAGGATTTTAGCTTCAAAAGTCTCAGCTTCTCACTTGCTTCCCCGAGCTAGATTGGTAAAATGCCGCGGGAAGGGACACATGAAGGGAGCTCTTTGCCGTCAAAACGAGTGATAGCCACAGTCTCTGGCTGGCCGTACTGTCCATAATCTAATCCAGAGGGTAGCTGAATGAGAACATTGCCGTAGTGAAGGTCACCATGAGCAAAACCTTGTGAATGTACGTACTCAACTGCAACTGCAGACTGTGCTGCCAATGCTCGCGCAACTTCTAACTTAAAAAGGCGAATATATGATCCATCCTTCACATTGGAAAGACTCATCTTCGCTGGGAGAGTCACGTAGCATGCATGGGTGCCATTTGGACCTTGGATCTCGAAAGTGTCCAAGATGAAAGGTATCATAGCTTTCCCCAGACTATCGCCCAAGTCCCGTCGCGAGTTGGAAAGATCAGAAAGCACGTTCAATTCGTGCGGATCTGAGTCTGCTGTACAGACTCTGATAGCGACATATTTTTTTGACACTTCGTCTTGAGCCAGCCAAATTGTTTAGTGCGAGCCATGGCTGAGCTTTTGGACTACCAGATAGCGGTTGTGGAGCCGATCTCTAATTGCTATAGGGTGGTAGCCTCCTGGTCTGTATCTTTTCAATTTCTCCACATCCTCAATGGGAACGTATTAAGTGACGCAGTTTCGGGTCGCCTTTTGACGTCTTGGACATGGTTGCAGAGGTGGAAAACACACAGCGAAATCGAGTGTGGTAAAGCAATTTCCCTGGTCTCTTGCCAGTAGTAGGATGAAGACGAGTAGATGGTGCGGACGGATTCAACGGCCTCAGGCTGGATAGACACGAAGAAATCATCATTTCCTCAAAAAGCAGTAGATTGTGTAATATTGGGACCTGTGAATTACTATCTGTACCTTCCAGCGCACCCACCGCTTGCGCTTATGATGCGGTCCTGTTCGCAAGATACGGAGCTGAGAGCAACCGCTATGTAGACACAAACTACAAATTCTAGCTGTTGCTGGCTTGCTTAAGCTCTTCATACTATTTATATTCATGCTCCATTTCACAAGAAGGACATAAAACGTATCGGTTGTCCCCACTAAGCCTCTTTTCCATTCATAAATTCTTCTCAGTTCTCTGTATTGGTGTTGGATAATAAGCACCTTATCAAAGTAAGTATATGTACTGATGTGATCAAAGCTTTTATTTAATGTTAAGTCTGCGAGGTTGGTTGGATCCACCGCCTAACAGGCCGTGTTCAATTTGAGTACTTGGTTAGAACTACTAGTATAAAATGGCAATTCAAATAAAAGAAAGCAGAGAGGGGTATGCAGTCGTCACTGAAACTATCAAGGCGAATTTGTACATTTTAAAAGTAGTGTGGCATATTCATTGGCTCTAACCACACATTCAACATCTGCTCAATCGTAACGTCCTGAAGATCCACCCAAGGAAAACCAGGATCAGGCTGAGGCTCTTCATAGATATTATTTTCTGAGATTCTAGTGGTGAAGACTGCCAGTTCACCATTATTCTCTCCAGCACTATCGGACTGCGCAAGACGATATTTCTCTTCAAACCATTCAGAAAGGAACCGCAGCCAACCTTGGTAGAAGAACATCTCATGTTGATCCCACTTCCCACCTTTACACTCCTGATCAAGCGTATTCATGCGCTCGACAGATTTCTGGATTTCATGCCGCATATCCAATGTCTCTCGCAACCTTCGGACTTCATCGTGATCTCGAACGGATGGCTCCAACGATGCGAGAACAAGTTTGCATGAAGCTGCAACGCTGAACCCGGTCATTGTCCATTGGGTGTAACTAAATCTCTTTTCAATACCAGGTGGTAGAGTGAAGTAAAAGTTCATAAATTGTTTTGCAGCCGCTAGTCCGTGACAAAGGGCATCGATTCGCAGGAGGGCCATGGATTGGTCGAATGACGCGGCGGAAGATGGGTATACATCGAAAAAGATAGTTTGATAGAGATGGATTTCGAAGGCGTGGGACGGAATGCCTTGAAATGCTAACCAAGTGTTAGAATTTAGATCTGCAGTACGGATAAGGCTTGGTCAACTCACCATCATGGTCAATAGGGACAGGAAGCCGGGCTTTGCAATCTTCAAAATCGCTTTGAAGAGAACTAATCATAACTTCTATATCCACAGGAGCCTGATTCTGACCGAATCCCCGTGCAACTAGGGAATCGATTCGTACAAGCATGTGTTGTACTTGAACCTGGCCTAGCAGGTATCGATCGGTTGAGAATTCGCATTCCTGCGACAACTTCGCAGCGCATGATTCTATGAAGGGTGACCAAGGCATTGTTCCTGTCCGCTGTAGTACTGTGGAGTGACTAGTCATGTGAAAAGAAAGTAAGCAAGACATAGTCTTTTCAGGTCTAGACCGGACTGTAGAGGTGGTAGATCGAACTTACCACGCGTCAAGGAGAAAATACCCAACCAAAGCTCGCATTTCCTCGTTTCGCAGGGAAATCGATTCTGTCGGAGGATCCATGTCCGAGATGACGTCAATTCTTTGCCTTACTCCTCGCAGCTTGGCTGGGTAATCCAGTCTGCAATCGTTGATTATACTTTGTGCGAGGTGCAGATATCCAGAAAACCGCACTATATGGAGCTTTTTCTTCGTACTATCTTCCGTGTTAGCTTTTGTGAATCTAATGAAGAGAGAAATTGTGTCTAGAACATACCCAGCTATAGTAACCAGCAAACCCTGTAGTATATCAAAGGGTTGTTGGCGATTGCCTTGCAAGACTTGTCCCCCAAGGTAAGACGTCGAAACGTCCTCGAGGGCCAGGTGCAGCGGGACATTTCGAAACGAGGAGACCAAAAGAATAGAGAGTAAGAGGAAGGGTTTCTCCGATCTGAGATCCTCGACAGTGGCATTTCTCGGCAGCTGTACAAATGGGAAATACGTTATGGCATCACGAAAGCTCTCTATCAAACCATTTGCCTCTTCGTGGGTGATCAGCCCGCTCCCGATCACATCGCACGGATGTCGAGGAGTCGGAGCACAACTTTCACTTTTCGGGGACAGTGGCAGTGGCAGTGGTGCCTGTTGCGGACCTGAGTGAGGCTGATTGATCTGGCCTAATATTTGATCCACCTTGTCCTCGAGTGCACCTATTCGCCTAGATTAGATGCGGTCAGCTTGACAGATCGTATGGATACGAGGAGTGGGCAGATATACGTCTCCCTCTTCTTAGAAGGACGAGCTTTTGTTGCACGGAAATAACAATCTCTGTTCAGACGGAGACACCTTCAAAGCGTGTTAGGTTTACATTGCTAAGTAGAAGAGAAGAGAAGGAGAAGGAGAAGCGAGATGTTGCATACCGATCGCAGCTCTGGGTAGAGGTGCGCGAGCACCTAATTTTAGCACGCACACAGTTCTCGCATGTCCTAACTCGGCCTAGACTGGTCGGCGCGGACATAGTAGGCAGCATTTAAAGAATTGGAGCTAAGATGGGGGCTGGAAAGGAACAGGAGGCCTTAAGAGTCCGCGGACCGGCCCCAGGCAATTCCCCTCCATAGTCCGCGGACTCGGAGTTGGCCTGGACTCCGTGTCTTGGCACGGCCCGAAGTATACTCGCGCCAATGATAGTCCGACGTAGGATCGGAGATAGTAGCATAGCCTCGTGGCTGACTTTCAGGCCTCGTTATTTTGTCAGATTGTATAAAGAGTGTGTGTATTCGATGCTTTGAGGAGGGGAATATCAACCTCAACCCATTTAGACTCGCATTCTACCTCTTCTCCTCCTCACTATCTCAAAGAAGAACTCGAAGAAAAAAGAGAGAAAGAGTAGAAATATCAACCCTGAAAATGTCGGAAATGAACATGGACGACTGCACCTTGGCAACTTGCCCAATTGACTTGGCCTATATCAATTACCAGCCTAACATCCCGGCAAATGTCCTCTTCCTCGTCATCTTCGGCCTTCTCCTCGCCGCACAAATCGCCCTAGGAACATGGTTCCGAACATGGACATACATGGGGGCCATGACCGCGGGGCTTATTCTTGAAATACTGGGATACATCGGACGAATCATGATGCACAGCAACCCATTCGACTTTAATGCATTCCTTCTGTACGTGACCTTTGAGACATACCTCTGAATAAAGCAAGCTAATCAGAAACTTGACTTTTAGATACCTCATTTGTCTCACGATTGCCCCGGCCTTCTTCACCGCCGCCATTTACATCTGCCTGGGAAGAATTGTCATCGTCTACGGGGAGGATATCTCCAGGATTCGCCCGCGTACATACACCATCCTCTTCGTCACTTGCGATATCATCGCTCTAGTCCTACAAGCAGCCGGCGGCGCCATTACCTCCATCGCCGACTCAGACCAAAAAAGCCTCGGCGATACCGGTGTCAATATCATGATTGCAGGATTGGCTTTCCAGGTCGCCTCGTTGACGCTGTTCATCGTGCTCGCTTCGGAATTCGCCCTGCGAGTGCGCCGCAGCTCAGAAGACATGAAGAATGTATCTACAGCATCTGTTCGCAGTGGTTTGAAATGGAAGATGTTCCTTCTGGGTAAGTGTCACCAAGTAATCCGCATTTATCAGCCTATGCTAACCCAATCAAAGGTCTTGCCATTGCCGTTTTAACGATCTTCATTCGCTCGATCTTCCGTGTTGCGGAACTGAAAGGTGGATTTAATAGTGATCTGGCTAATGATGAAATTTCCCTGATGATTCTTGAGAGCACTATGATTGCCATTGCGTGCATTTGTATGACCGCCGCTCACCCAGCAGCTGCCATGGGCCGGCGGTGGGGGGAACTCTCGGCGAAGCCGCGTCGTGGAGTCGTTTCGTCTAAGATGTCGCAGGCTTCATCAGAAATTGAGATGATGAATGCTTAAAAATATATAGCAAAGCCCCTGCTGACTTGGAGTGGTCGGTTTCAAGAGATTGGGTATTAGACATTTCAGCGTTTGGATTGGTCTTGGTAACATCAGCGAGTTAGATCTGGAGTTAGATTTTATTTGAGCGATTTGAATCATAGCATTCTCACATTCCATATTCCAATCCCTCCAGTCATACAAAGAGTTGAGCCAGCTAGGGTCGGTGGAGTCGTATTGTTCCTAGGTTGCCCTTAGGTAGTGGATGAGGACCAATGAAGGACCAAAGTCCTGAGGTGTCCGCGGAAAAAACGAATACTTTCCCTGACTCTCGAATTTGAATGCCTAGGCATACATCTGCGCCGCATTGATTGCTGTACTCGTGCGACTTTTTTTCTAGGGACATTTTGCGTCGATCTCTTTTCTGTTGCAATGACTTCTTGGTCACGCTGAAAACTTTCGACTGGCCGCTGGAGTTCCTGGTCATTATGACCGAGTGGTATGGAAATTTATAGGCAAACAGTACGCTGGTGTCAGGGCACGGTATTTCTATTATGAACGAAAGGTGTGTCATTAAGAACCTAATAGAGGGCAGAACGGGACGGGCGGTCAAGCAGTGGCTCGCCCGTCCTAAAGTTACGGGTGGAAAGGCGGCCGTTTCTGGCGCCAGAGGTTGTCATTTTCAGCGTCGTTTTCACAGGTCCCTATATTCTACTTGCAACAGATGGTTCTTCACTTCAAGTTGATCCTCGGTGTGTGATTCACAGGCTTGAATTGAAGGTTGCGAGGAGCCGGGCGCGAAATGAGACGAGGCAGAGGTGAACTCTGCTCCGGATAAACGTAACAGAGTCCAAATTGTACATATATGTGCAAAGGAAACTCACTTTTTATCAAGGCTAGAATGTAGAACATACTTCGAGTTGGCATCGGGTCGGGTTCGGGTTCAAGGGCCTGGGTCCCGCCCCGAACCCGCCAGGACTTTTGTTAACCCGACCCGGAAAACCCGAAACCCCCGTTACTAGACCTAAATAGGTAAAAGGTTCTATAATCGATACTAGACGCTTAACCTATATAGGTTTAGACTAACTCTAGTCTTCATTTAATTTTCAAATACTAAGAAGAATAAAGTGATGGGCTCCTTTGAGGTAGACATGGGTAGCCTTGGGGTTTATACCTGTGCGAACGTCCCTTGGACCGACCTACAATGCTGCCATATTGACAGACCTATAATGTTCGTTTGGTCTCCAGGGAGTTCCTAGGGGATTAATAACCTAATCCATTATACCCTAGATCCATAATACTTGCTAGGAATACAATCTAAAAGCGGTTATCCTCGCAGATATACTATATTATCAGTTTGGAATACGCACTGCGCAAACAGCAATTCAAGGATCTCAAAAGGCCTGATATTTGATATTTTAGGATCCAGGTATCCTCGACAATCGACCGAAACAAGTTAGAAGTTCTCATGACCCTAAATTAGACCATTTCATGCCATCATCCTGTTCGTTCGTTCCATTGCAACAAGAATCCTTGACAATAGGACCCATAGCTAATATGAGAGGCCAATGATCCCCAGGCATCCATGGATAGGAATGCCACGCTAGTCTTAGGTACCTTTACTGGCCCACTTCTTCTGGACCAGGCTTAGTGGAGCACAAACATAAGACCCTTTTAAATATCCTGTCCTCCCTGGCCCCAACCTTCTACATTAGCTGCGAGATTTTCTTCTCCGAACCCCTTTGTACATTCGGTGCACCATGAAGTCAACCAGACTACCAAAAAGGCCGTCATCTTTGGCCGCAGTGCCACAAAAGGCTTACCTAACACCTTTTCTTGGGTATCTGATTCGACTTTCTGATCGAATGCTGCTCATGTAAGTCCTGGTATAGCTTTTGGAATGGTCAAAGAAAATGCAACTTAAAACAATAATACCAATATTAGATCCGGTATCTGTGCTGCAACTATTCCACTCGCATACTATTTAATCTGCAATTACTATTACGAAATTGAGAAAGCAACCTGTCGGAAGCGGAACAGTGATCTGATCATTATCCTGGGGAGTATTCTGTTCGTTCTATATCCAGTGAACGGTGCTCTGCATTATCTTGCGCGCCGCCGCATCCAGCGAGGGGGCCAATGAATCTATAATCTAGTCTGCGTTGAATATTATGTCCAGTACTCAAGTTACTATCTTAATAGTAGCAAACAGGATAGAAGAGGTAGTGGATCAGTGTTAAGACTACAAAGAAGGCCAAGCCTTAAAAGCTTGATGCTATGCTGGCTAACACAGGATGCCACCAAAGCAAATCAATTTCGGCTGACCTTCCCTAATGTTTTGTAGTTTTAAAATTCATGTGAGATGTAGAATGCACAGTACCCCTGCTACTAGAACTGGCCGATGTAACGTTCCTGGCTTCAGACTTACTATGAGGGAGCCCCGCGTTGATTAGACAGTGCTAGCTGGACTTCGCCATAGGATGCAAGTGATCAAACATCTTTAATGCAAGATGGATACAATAAGCATTAAAGTAAGCATTGAAAGCTTTTGGCCATTTTTCGAAGTTTTACGCACGAAAACAAAAAAAAAAAGAAAGAAAGAAAGAAAGAAAGAAAGAAAGAAAATGCCAAGAAATGAAATATTTAAATCAGTTTGCATTAAATACGCTCAAACAAGACGGCTCCACGTCTACTTGCCAGCATCATCTTACCAGTTGCGTGTCCTACCTGCGACTTCACAATGCCACACCTTTTTCACCTACCCCTTGAACTTCTCGCACAAGCTATCTCATACGTCGATCAATCGACTTTAAAATGTCTGCGCCGGACTTGTCGCACGCTGGCGCAAGTCACCTCACCTCAACTCTTCCGCGTTGTGCGCCTGTTTTCCCAACGAACACAACTATGAACGACTTTGCAACATCTCAAGGGACGCCACACTGAAGAAGCTGGTAAGGAAAATTTATATCCATACATGCTACGAATACCTTGTAGGTTGATTACCCCACATAGCCTTTCAAGAGTCTCAGACAAGAGAAGTAACTGTACAAGGTCTTCTGGGGTTAAAATGCATCCTCACCGAGGCATTCAAAGACGCCTGCAGCTCAAACGCTTCCCGAACGTGCAAAGCACTGTTCTACGTTTTGACGACATTTGTTACGTCTGTCCAAATGACGAAGACAATAATGATGATAATAGACTAGACTTATGGCGAGGCCAATGGCCCCAGAACCCCGCCTGCCGCAAAGAAATTCTCCGCGTGTTCTTATCTTGGCTGGCGTCCTTGGGTGCACCCATCAAAGAGCTCGGAGTCCGCAACCTTCACGGCGGCAATATCGACGATGCGGAGATTCGCACCATGATAACTAAGGCGTTGGGCAGTCTCCGATCACTCCGGCTGAACATAGTTATCGAACGTCTCGTAGAACTCGTAGAAAGCCCAGCAGATGAGATCCAATACCATGAGGCCCACGAATTCTTCGAAGAAATGTCATCGAACTGGCTGAATCCCACCATGGGATCATTGGAGCACCTGACGCTCCACTGTGACCAGAAATGGTTGTTCCTCCCCAAGGTTGACTTTCATGGGATTCGCTTCCCAAGGCTGAAGACCCTCGCACTGGGCAATTTTGCCTTCTGGCTGAACTCACAGGTGGAGTGAATTCTTTAGCATGCCCTAACTCTAACGGAATTGTATTCGGATGACTGTATTATTTTGTACGATTTCAGTATTACACAAGAGAGAGAATGGTGGCGTCCGGGTTGTCCTGAACGAAGCGACTACTACCGTTCAGGCGAGAAACTGTGGAATGATCTGTTCGGTGCCTTTCGAACAGGCTTGCCGTTTCTTCGGCATTTTCGCATGGGATCAACGTGCTGGTCGTATTCTGATGGCGAGATGCCGTTTGTGAAGGAGACGAGCATTTATATCGGCCTTCTGCACGATCGGTATATGGGGTGCCGTGGCACGGACCCGGACGACCGTATGTCCAAGGTCAATGAAAAAGCGGCACAAGAAAACCGTGAATTCGATAGGACCGCTTTGCGGCTCTTGCTAGAGAGTGTAGGGCAACGCGTACCGCCGTCTTGGTCGGTAGGCAGTAGAAATGTTAGGGATCTGGTCGATACGAGGTAGAAAGGTTGGGAATGCGAAGCATATGGTGGTAAGAGGTCTTAACTCGAAGCATACGCAGAGGCATTCACACTATTGACGATCGACAATGGCTTCAGCCACAGGGGTCAATGCAATCACCGCGCATTGTCAACTTTCTAAGGTAGAATTATAGATATAGGGCATATTCCAGACAAAGGGCATTTGCCTACGACTTGCCTATCTAAAAACCTTAGTTGAGCGGCTTATTCAGTGCTCAAAGCAGGCAGCTGGCCTAGGACTAGCAGGGGCATAAGACAATGATTCTAGAACAGGGCTATAGAGCCCCGTATACAGGCTCATTCTCTGTAGTCGTCATATAATAAGGCTTAATTATGCTAGTAACGATGTCTATAGGCAGACAGAGTGATATATATGAGCTAACCCTAATTCGGACAGTTGCCCCGTGCTCCACTGAGCCCTATATCGCTTGAAATGGGGCCTCCGGCATGGCCACCGGTCCGATTACGGAACGTACGACTGTTGAAATCGGCATTTGTTTATAACTTTACTCCACTATTCCACGAGTGACTTCCTGGGCTTGGAAAATGGTCCACCTTATCAGTAATTATTTCTTTTACATGATGAAAATAGCTAATCCTGAATCTCCACCGTGGGGAAGCTGGGGTTGCGGAGGGAAGAAAGTTCAATATAACAAACGAAATACAAAATATTGTCTCAACATGTCTGCTTTTGTCGCTTTCTGTCTCATTTGAGATTTTCAACACTATGGGACATATACACGGGAGGAAAGAAGATCCCGAAATTCCAGCCAATATGCCTTCTCAGGTTGGCGAAGGGGATCTTAAATCAGCTGCCACCGAGGATGCCGTATTCGGGGTGATTGAAGGTGATGGTCCTAATTATCGAAATGTACATTCAGGCCTACAGGTTGTTACTATCAATGAGACTGATAATTCTTAGCTAGGATGGGTAGGAACCTCAGTTCTTATGATGAAAACCCAGATCGGCTTGGGTGTACTCTCTATCCCAGCTGCATTTGATACGTTGGGCCTGGTCCCTGGAGTGCTTTGTCTAGTGGCCATAGCCATTATCAACAGCTGGTGCAGTTATATGGTCGGCAGCTTTAAGCTCAACCATCGTGAAGTGTATGGCATTGACGACGCGGCTGGACTCATGTTTGGCCCTGTCGGACGTGAGGTCCTCGGAGCCGGATTTATCCTTTGTGAGTTAACCATCTGTGGGAATTGTGATGGTAACGCTAACGGATTATGTTTATAGATCTAACTTTTGTTGCTGCTTCCGGTATACTTGGTATCTCGATCGCTCTGAATGCGATCTCAACCCATGGAGCTTGCACCGCTATTTTCGTTGCTGTTGCCGCGATTGGAGTATTTTGCCTTGCAATTATCCGGACTCTGAGCCGCGTAACTATTCTTGCGTGGGGTGGCCTGGCATGTATTCTCATTGCCAGTAGGTGCCCTGCTTGGCCTCTCATATTCTATAGCATTATTTCTAACACTTTTAGTATTTACCGTCACCATTGGGGTCGGCGTAGAGGACCGTCCCCATTCGGCACCGCCAGGCCCTTGGGTTTCTGACTATAAGATTGTCAATAGTCCCAGCTTCACAGACGGAATATCGGCAATCTGTACATTAATTTTTGCCTACGCCGGCGTGCCCTTTTTCTTTCCGATCGTAGCCGAGATGCGCGAGCCTCGCCACTACACAAAGGCATTGGCAGCGTGTCAAATCGTTGTCACGGTTACCTATGTGACGATTGGGACCGTTGTGTACTACTATTGTGGATCTTATGTTGCGTCGCCTGCGCTTGGTTCCGCGGGAAAGCTAATCAAACAGATTGCCTATGGTATTTCTCTCCCGGGACTGTTCGCCAGTGCAACTATCTGCACGCATGTAAGGAAATAACAACCCCTCCCTCCACCGATTCTCAACAAGTTCTCACACCTGAATAGCTTGCAAGCAAGCACTTCTTCGTCCGAATGCTACGAGGGTCGAAGCACCTGGTCGCAAATACGCTTGTGCACTGGGGTACCTGGCTGGGCTGCGTCCTCGGTGTTGCTCTCGTCGCGTATATAATTGCAAGTGCGATTCCCAATTTCGATAGCCTCATCTCTTTTATTGGAGCGTTACTTGGCACGTTGCAAGGTTTCCAGCCGAGTGGTTGCATGTGGTTATATGATAATTGGAGCCGGGGCAGAGACCAGAGGTCGTATAGATGGACCTTGGGCGTATGCTGGAGCGTCTTCGTTGTCATCTGCGGCACGTTTTTGATGGTCGCTGGTACATATGGCTCCGTCGTTGGAATCATCGACTCTTTTAGCACTAATGGTGGTTCGGGTGTTTGGTCTTGTGCTGACAATTCCAACTCGGTGTAGTGGTGAGGCTTTTGGACTCAGTTATTTAAGCCACTATATCATCGCCTGTGTTCTGTCATGTTTCTTTCTCTTCATAGTCTACGGCTTATAGAGTAAGTATATACCAATGCCGTCTTGGTTTTGCATAATCAATGCGAGAATTTGGAAATGTCGTAGGTTAAGCTATTCGTCTCCGCGAACACCATTCTTCGACCATCTATAGAGAACCAAATATGTATACTGATTAATGGCGTTAATGTCCTACCATTTCAGTTGATATGATTTCCATCAACCAAGATATTGAGGTACGGAGCATTCTCGTTCAAGATGACTTCTGTTTTGGAATCCTTTCTCTACTAAAGAGATATGAGTGAAGACAAGCTCTAGGCCACAAATATTCTAACTTGTCTTGGTCCTTTCTCAAAAACCGGCTATCTATTCAGCCTTCTCATACTGGGTTGCCAGGCCTGCAATCCAATCTGCCACTTTCTCAGGCGCGCTAGCAATAGGAATATGGCCCGTTGGAATCACCGTCACATCCACCTCCCTACCCGTCTCTTTCTCAATGATCTCTATCTGCTTTTTCTGCACTTGAGCTGGAATCACCTTATCATCCGCGCAGAGCAAATACGAAACAGGTACATCCTTATACCCAGCATAGCTCAAAGGATTCGTGAAGCTGACAGCCGAGTGTTGGGGATACCGCTCCATCCACGCTTTACCCTCAGCGGCCGGAAGGTCCGAGTAGCATAGTGCAGCGGCCGCGGCGTTATCAGCGAAAAACATGTATCCCTCTTCCTAAGAGATCCATTAACAATCATTTCACAGTGAGAGAAACCATCCCACTAGCTAAATTGAGAATGAAATAGAGTCCGAGGAAGAGAAAGAGAGACAAACATCAACCTGTAATTCGACGAGATTTTCAGCCGGAATATCAGCCAGCACATCCGCCGAGGCAGCGCCCAACTGCGGCACCAGCGCGGTGAGATACGCCAACTTTACGACCCCGCCAATCTTCCCGGATCCCTCTGTCTTGGCTAGTCCCTTAATGCTCTCGCTGCTAGGCACCCCACCGTACGAGTGAGCCACCAGGATCACCTCCTTTCCCTGATCGACCAGTGTCGCGACCTCGCGCGCAATCGCGGCCGCATCGTCGTACATGGTTGCGGGTGGTTGGAGCTTCTCGGTGCTCCGGAGACGGATGGCCTTGACCTCGTAGCCTTTGGATGCTACGCCATCGACAACCGTGTCATAGAACTCCGGGAGGCTGAACGAGCCGGGGACAATGATGATAGAGGGTTTTGAGTGCGACATGGTTTAATTGCGGATAGGTAATGTATTAAATGGGACAGATCGGATTCAGTGGGGTCGATACAGCTGAGGGTGAGAACGTAGGATTTGTAGTCCTGAAAAATTTCTGTGAGAAGACACATGGTTCATATTTAAGTCTACTATTGAACAACATAGCCTGCCTCGCGTCATCGGTCCATTGGTGATTTGAAATCGGACCGCATGCATTATAAATGCAGGCTGACAGCTAGGGAGAGCACGCCAATCAGAACACGTATATCGAGTCAGTCGGGACTCTTCTACACATCTCCAGTAGCAGGACTATGACAGTAGTCTTTTGATTGTTGGTAAATAACGCGATGAATGTATTTTGTTTCGATTCCTATCAGAGTCATTCATCGACCTATATAACCATGACATATAAGAGCATCAGTTATGGGCAGTGCTGTTAGTTTGTGTGGTAAGCATGCATCCGAAAGATAAGCATGACAGTAAGCACGCCATGATGACAGGAACCGATGCTAGTCCACTAGTATATATAGCTTAAGACTAGTATATTGCTCACTGTGTACTCTAGATTATTAATAATCAGAGGTTCAACTTTCTGGCTACTGCTGGAGTCTACGATATCTAACAATATATCATAATAAACAAAAGTCAGACTACTATATGAGGGTGCAATGGATCTCAGTACCATACTAGCCTACCTAGTTATACAATATACACTTATTAATTAAATCGATAAACACAAACACCACCACAGGTGAAACACAAAAAGAGATCAAACTCATCCTTACCACTGACCAATATCAAGGTATCCCTGAAATATACATACTAGATATTGCTCACAAAGTTTAGTTTCTTAATGGCTATTTCTATGCTCGACATACACGTGATACGTACAGCCCTTGTTCCTGCAGCCAGAAACGGGCGACTTGGTCTTGACTCTTGACCACCTTGCTACCTGGCTCAGCCGAGAAGAGAGCCCTCCAATGGGCTAGGTTGATGGCCAGCGCATCGGGATGAGCGAGGCGGGTTCGAGTTTGAATGGACTCTACCAAAGTCTAGCACGGCCGCTGCGGGTGTGCCTAGCCTTTTAGTCTGCGCGCTATGCGGGGTAAACTTAGCTGTGACGAGCAGTCCTCAGCTAGCCACTGCTTACGTACTTTTCGAAAGGCTCTTTCTTCATCATTGCTGTTATTTGGGTAAATCCATAACACTCTCATGTCTGTATTGGAGCGCCGGCAGAGAGCGTTGAAAGTCTGACTGAAATACAGATGTAACCGATATCGGTGAAGAAGCCCAGATTCTGGTATGTTCACAGGATTGTTACTGGATATTCTTCCGCACATGTTCTAGTAGAAAATGCTGTTTTTTACAGCGCCTTGGTCAGAGTCATTAAAATGACGTCAATTGAGCAGTCAATGCTAGTGAGGCTTTTCTCAGCGCCGCGTAGGACTGTTTTAAAAGCAGATCTGCACAGGAATGTATATAAACAGTCGAGGTTAGAAAGATCTTAGCGCTTTTATACAGAGGTATACCAGAAATAGATTATAACTTTTAAAGAGACTACCCTTTGGGCCGAAATTATGTACTCATACCGAAGTCTACTTCACTGATGATATCGGATATGAGAAATCAGAAAGCCATATAATGGTCTCTTACTTACAAATAGCGCACGATAAGGCCGTCTCATGCATGCAGAAATACCCTACCCCGCCTCCTTATAGAGCGCTCCGATGTGAATCTTGTGAGCGAACCCTGTTCATTTTTTTACTCTGCCAATCGGAGGCACTGGAACGATAGCGCCTCACTCCGGTAGCCTGACTCCATGATGCAGGAGAATCCTTTTGGTATTGATCTACCTCGCGACCGATATCTTGACAGAGAAGCATAGAAGGCAAAGCAAGGTTGCAAGCGCCAAATCCCCGTCTATAAAGTCCCCATGGGCTCTCGTTTCTGGAAAGCAAAATTCTCCACTCCAAACCACCTTTTAACTTATCCTACCTCGTCAATCACACAGAATGGCGGATACCAGAGGCCGTCCTACTCTCCCACCATACCCTGAGAACCCCGAAACTAGGAAAGGCAAGCGCTTAAGCCCTGAGAAAGTCCAGTCCCTGAAGGCCCGATACGGAATCGATATCGACCCTCCAAGTGCCAGCTCCGGCCCAGCCGCCCCCGAGGACACTTATCCTAAGTATACCCCCACTCCCCTGCTGCTAAAAGTTCACACGGCCTTCTGCAGCTGACTTATGGGCTCAACTCACAGCGATGGGTGGGTACGAAAACATGAAACCCTCAACATCCACTCAGGCTGGTTCGCATTCCCCGCACCAATCGTCGAAAACAGGAGTTTCGCCGGCGCAATCCTCCATAGCTACCCGGCCTACGGCACAGTCCTTCCAAAAGATCGATGCTGGTTCGACTTCTTCGAAGGCGACCGCTGCTGCCTGCGCATCGGAATCTTTCGAAACAGGACAGCGATAACATATAACCAGGTGGTGAATAATGCATGGACCGCAGAGGTCTATTATGAGCTTCCCGATGCGCTCGCTGAGGGGCGCGATTTAGGTCTGAGGGTGTTTCTGGAAGACGGTCAGTTCTGTGTTTCTTGGGATACTGAGGGGGCAGATTTGGATTGGGGCGCCGCTGCGGATTCCATGGAGTACCGGGCTGTGCCGGACAGTGCGGCGCTTTTTGGGGAGTCTGTGACGGGTTCGTTTGTTATGAAGTTTCCATAGTTTTATATCGCTCCTCCTCTTTACCGGATTATCCTGGATTAATTGATTACCCATCTCTTCCTGGCCCCTGTCTAGCAAGGGGCAACCTTCGGACCAGAACATGAAATTTGTTTTCTGCCATCGGTAAGAGATGAATCTGCCTTAGTTGAAACCGAACGATTGAACAATTGGCTCTCAATTATACATTACTACATTACCAGAAGTATTAGATATCATTATTGTAGATCAAATCTCGATCCATTAATTCTTAGGTCAAACAAACGTCAGGTGCTGTCCCATGACCTCAAAACGTAGAGGCCAGGGTGGATGGTGATTTCAAGCTAACGATAGTCTATATGGGAACCTTCTGCCAAAGAATAGAGATGAAACACAACGATCAAAAGAAAGTTGCTGGTAAAGTAGAATATCGGGTGATCATCTAGACTCTTTGAAAAAGTCTACTAGGCCATGGCCTTTCTAGCGTGCCGGTGCGAATGATAAGCTGCATCATCGTTCGAGCAATAGAGCAATTCCCATGCATATATATTTATTTCTATATTGATAAACGGAAACATATATATGACTATATGCACATATTTTACTAGTCGACTGGTAGATCGGCCGCATCGAGAATGGCAAGATGAGGGAACACGCTGTAGACTTAAGTATATAGCCTTTATTTGGCCAAGTAATCAAAGCGAAACAAGTCGCTGAATCTATGAAGCACTGGAGCCGATCCAACAGCGAGTGGAAATAAAGAAAATATGCGTGGCCGGTTGGGCGATGCCAAAGTGTCGATGAAATAGTGATTTAATACACCATACCTAATGAGGCCTAGCTCTCGCCAAAGTACCCACAATTCGTTTTATACAGAAACGATGATTACTCTTCGCAAGGCTTAACATCATACTCTACGTCAGTCCGGATAATATACTTCGCCCCCTTTCTTACCCCAGTTCCCTCATGTAACAAGGCCCCGTTGGCCTCTCCATGCGGGAAAATCGCAACGGCTCCCATGACAGGTCGCACCGGGTACGCGTTGAGGGTTCCTTCCCGCGCAGCGGGCATGAAGAAAGTTGTCTCTCCGCCCTCGAACTCATCGTTTAGATAGAGTAGGAAGGTATACATAGAGCTTTGTCTCTTGTCCTCCGGCGAGGCGTCGTACACATACGTGTCGTCGGGCAGGATGCCGGACGGCGGCCAGGCTCCGTCAATGTGGCACCGGTATTCGGCGCCGGGAACGTACCGGTATACGCGGAAGCGTCGATTGATACCCCGGGCTAAGCGACCGTTGATAGACTGCGGTACGTAACGGGAGATACGTGCCCAGAGCATGTCGTGGAAAGTAGTGTCGACTACCCAGTAGAAATTGTGTGCGAGGATACTCATATCGCCGTCTTCGCGGAGGGGCGCATCTGGTAGGAAATTGACGGATTCGCCGGCCGCGATGATTGCTTTGCACTCGGCGGTGGAGAGGACATTTAGGGCCAGGCCCAGGCCTGGCACGGAGGGATGTGGGTGGTATGTTATGGTTGGGCCGACGGGGGCGAGCGGGACGGCGTTCGGGGTGGTGGTGTACAGGATGGCAGGATGGTGATTCGGAGGCTTGCGGAGTGGGCCGGGGGTTGTTTCGATGACGCGGAGGGCGGATGGTGACTTGGGCGCGTCAGCTAGAATAGATTTGTCAAGGACGGAGGCGTAGACGGGGAGTGGTGCCGTCGAGGGGCGGAGGTCCCAGATGGATTGGAAGGCGATGGGAGAGGTGGAGTCGACGGCTTTTGGGTTGGTGTCGATTGGGGTGCTGACGCGCAGGATGGCATCGAGGACACCCAGCAGTTCCATGTCCTTTGCGCTGCGCTCCAGCGGGACACGATCGATTGCATCGGGTTGCGTTGAGAGACCGCTGACGACGTCCAGATCCCGTACCCAGCGACACAAGGCTCCGATCTTTGGTTGTTCGCCCCGAATTCTCATCTCGGCGAGCAGGATCTTGGCGTCGATGTATTTCTCGTCGGCCAGAGCACCGGTGATTCGTGCTGTCAAGTTTGCACCCTCTATCGAACGATTAGCTGCTGCTCTCAATTAGTGACAACGCAGCAGCGTACCAGCGGCATTAGCCCCCGTGGTGCAGGATTGGCGGAAGTCATAGACCGCAGCTCGCAGGTCCCTGCATGCCTTCGACTTGGTCAGGCTTGGGTATTGTGCGAGAGCCGTGAGTGTTTCGATGGTGATCTCGAGATCCTCGTCGGGGACAATCGTTTTGAGGTGCTTGGGCTCGCCATCAGGAGGCGGTGTCAGCGTAGTAGCGGCCTTTGGCGCTTTTTGTGGAAGGTCGACTTGCGCATTGCGCTTGCGCTTGGCGGCTTTGGATTTGGCCATGATTATCTGTGGTTGATTGACAGATAATCGATTGATTCGAGTGGGGGTTCGGAGGTTAGACTTAACTTTGTGGGCGCATTCCGTCCTGCAAAATCCCGATTTGCCCCACACAATTCTCTTCTCTGCTAAATCCTCGTACACTAACCTGAATGTAGACTAGTGCATTGTGCCAGAAAGGGACCATGCTGTGTCGTTAGCCTGGAGTGGTAATTGCACTGCAACCCCTAACATCTATGAGGAACACGCCTCGTTATTACTAGCACGCCGAGGAAATGTACACGGCGACAAATACATACAAGCTATACCAAAGCACCTGGTTCAATAGACTCCGTACTAGTTTCCTACGAATTTGAGCAACCGACCATTCAAGTGTCAGGAAAATCGATACATCAGGTTGTAGTGTCTGGAGGCAACTAAAATGCACATAAATAGAAATATCCATCAGGCGTCTCTGATCGTCATAGTATTCTAAGAATCCAAGAAGGACACCTGGACAAAAATATAAACAAAGCCATCAAAGCCTGAAGCTCAAATAGGAATCATTTATTGCATATAACTTCATAATTTAGAAACAAGTGTATCAGTGCTACTTTGCTGCGTGAACTTGTATATTATCGCACCCACCCCCTGTTTAACCCTTCATACAGGCAGGACAACTTTGACACCCATGTACTCCCGCTGATGCATGACCTTGCCATCAATGACGACTTGATGCGCACCAACTCTGTTATTCACTGTATCTGTCGGGTCTGTACACGTAGCGATTTGAATTTCGCGCCATTGGCGGTTGGTGGGCACAAGCTTGCCCTGTGATGTGAGCTTCTTGAATTCCTTGTAGACGCCTTGCTCCTCGACGCAACCTTCTCGTTGGATAAGTTTCGAATCTAACCAGAACCATTAGCCTACTTTGCTTACCAGTGATATCTGCCTCGAGTTGCCGTTTACTCACCTTGGGCAGGAGCCATACGCAGATCTCCAATGGAGCTGTTAAACAATACCAGTGACAGGCGCTCCTCGTTCAACTGATCTGTGGGCGGTCTGAAGACACGGTGGCGAGTAGCCTTGAAATGTCCGCCCGAGACAATCTCCAATGTGTCGCCGATGTTAATAACAAGCGCTCCAGGCTTGTAGGGCACGTAGTACCATTGTTCGTCGCGGCCCCAAATCTGGAGACATGAGATAGGAACCGAGAATAGCAATGTCGTCAAGCCAAAGTCTGTGTGACCATGCATGCGAAGACCCTTGGATGCTTCCTGAGTTTGTTTCTGGACGGGGCGGAAGAGGGCATGACGAAAGTAGCCTTCGCCAGTCGGGCTGCCGTGTGATTGTACATTGTTCCAGAGATAGTCGTCGGGCAGCTCCAGGACGCGCGACAGGACGGTGAGGAGTCTTCGGTTGACGGACTTAGTGAGATAGTTGCTGAACGCCTCGATCTCGTCCATGAATGGGTGCAGACAGGTGGGCACGCGGTTGATGTCTTCCCAGTCAGGCTTGTACCAGTTGAACTGTTCAATACCATCAGGTGCTCCACGGTGGCGCTGGAGAGTAAGGATGACGAGTTAATATCCAGCTGAGCAGCTTACAAGTCCAGGTCAATGTCCATTTACCTTGAATCCATAAGGGTGCTTGTAGCCAGACCATTTCCCGCTGTCAGGATGGAAAAGCAGCCGCTCCTTGTCCTCCTCGCTGATGTTATTGTATAGGTATTGTGCAAGGGCGAATTGGCGATGGAGCTATTGGACGTTCTAAAGTCAGTGTCTTTTTTCTTCTCTTCGCAACTTGACTCTCTTACCTGTTCTAAAGAAATTCCGTAGTTCTCGAGGAACAAAAAGCCGTCATCACGGATAGCCACTTTGACCTGCTGGACGAGGTCATCGACAACAGCTGGGTCCTCGGAGTCTAGGAGTGAAAGGTCGATTGACTTGAGCTCGGCAAAGTTGTGCTTTTCCTTGGTGACAGGGGGTGGAACCCATTCTGGAACAAAAGGCTTGCCAGCGAGGTCGGCGGATGGTGGGTTGAAAGGGGCTGCGGGTGCCATGACTTAGTTTGTATGTTGAATGATATTTGTGTGAGATGCTGGATAGAATGACTAGGTGAGGTGTCACAATTGAGGGTTTATAACTTCTTCAGTGTTCTATGATGAGGGAGGCCTACATGTGGTACCTGAAGTCATACAATGCAGAAAGACGAGCTCCTCGGTCAAGCAAGAGGAGCGCAAACATGAGTTCGGATGACCCGCTATTGGGTTGTGCACTTCATCGTGTCTCCACTAACATGATTGGCATAGCAGGTGCTCTCTGCAGCATTTCCGATGATTCCATGTCCGATAAGCTAGATTCTCCACCTGATCGAGCTCCTCCCTGAAGTTTAATTAATTAAACTGTCGCTAAGTGCAAGCGCAATCGTTAGGTTCCGTGGGTTATAGTTCGGGAGGAGCTCCTCCCAGATAGGGCTGGAGGAGCTTCGGCGGAGATCCACTCGGCGTTATCGCGATGGATAGCAAGAGGGGGGGACCGATAGGGAATTTTAAAACAGCGATTTCCACCATTTACTTCTGTATCATCTACCGCATACGAAAAGTCATAAGGCAATTATCTGAAATCTATTTCCCATTGTCCTACACAGAATCTCTGTTTCTCCTTTGTGATCCTCCGCAAACATGTCCCGGCAACTCATCTCCAGCGAAAAGTTCCCCCCCAAGCCTCATAATTGTAAGTAAATCCTGCGGGAATACAATGCCACTTGCTAATCACACTGGTATTCGTCTCATAGGCCCCGCCGTCAAAGTCCCGGGTCTCGTCTTCTGCGCAGGCCAAACAGCGACCGGCGAGATTAAACAAGCAACAGTGAGTCTTTACCGTCCCACAATTCTCTATTATCTGTCTGTACCATATAACTAACACACTCATGATGTTCACAGAGAACTGTTCTACAGAATCTTAAAGAAGTTCTCGAGCTCTCTGGATCATCGCTTGAGCAGGTGGTGAAGTATAATGTCTACCTCGCCGATATGAAGGACTTTGCTGCAATGAATGAGGTGTACATCGACTTTCTTCCAAAGCCGATGCCGTCTCGCTCGTGTCTCCAGGCTCTGCCTCCAGGCGATGGAACGGTTATTGAGATTGAATGCATTGCGCAGGTTTGAGACAATTCATATAGAGGGTTTCCATAGAACATACAATAAGATTATTTAAATTGATGGTTCTGCTGTTGGTCAGCCCTTTAGCCTTTGGTCTCCATATATCGTATTACCTTGTTGTAGTTATAGGAATACCAAGCGTACTTGTTGTGGTTGTATATACTATGGAGCGAAAACTATGCCAAGAAGATGGTTCCGAAGTTTCTCCAGGACTAATGCCAAGTACGATCTAACGATATATGGACTAGTATTTATTGATATGTCTCTTTGCAGATAACCGTGGCCAGCCTGAATTATTTATCTTATATTCTTTACCTGCCACGTCACTCTCCTTGCTACCAGTCAAAAGTGCTACACATTCGCCCTATATGTAGGCCGTAAAGATTATCACTCAGGCATAAATGAAGCGGTCACGCTCTTGTTCATCTACATTTTCAGCTATAAAACAACATAAGCCGGCTTCCCCGACCACTCGTCTAACATGTAGTGCTCTCGAGGAGCACAATAATAATACCCCGTCTCTCCCCCCTTGTACGCTTTTACAGATAGCTTCAGAGAAGAGAACACACAATTTATCAGACATTCCAATAATACCTCCTCCTTCCACACGCTCTTCCCAAAGGTCGCGATCCAGCAGTCCGGTTAGGCCCAGTGATGCACAATATCGCGGCGGCCATCTTCGGCGCGCCAAGATCTTCGTGGGCGACGAAATACCCGCAAGTATCAGTTATTATGTCGATACAAGGATTTTTCATAATTCAACCAGCTCTGGCGATGATCACCTGCACCAAGTTTCGGAAAGGCTCTGGAGGAAGTCCAAGGAACTTGAGAAAAAACCATCCGGGGAAGCCGAATGGACAGAAGCTTTATACGCAGCCATCAACGATTTAAAACTTGTAGAATTTGAGGCTGTTCGTAACCGAGGCAAGCTAGCACTTCCCCCAGTCGCTAGTTGAGATTGGGCATTTTTATATCCTAACTCCGTGGTTAGATTGGCGTACAGATTTAAAGCCTCCAGTACACAACCCTCGCCCTACCATTCCACGCAAACGAAGCCAGCGAGATCAACTTTTGCAGGAGAATGCCGCCACTGACAGTCTTTACCCTTCCCCGGATCCCTCACGCGCAATCGAGCCAACTATTCCCGTGTTCAGGCTGAAGGATCCCCGGCCAGATATATGCGTCGGGCTCTCGGACGATAGCTTAGCAGATTCCCTTGAGCACACAAAGAGCCGTGACATCGCACAAAGCCTCTCGTTCGATATGCAAGATACCTCTACGCTAATTAGTGATCCGCATGTCACCCCTTTGGTCCTTCGTTTTCCCTTTCTGATAGTCGAGGCAAAGGCCGGTGCAACCGGAGGGAACCTCTACCAAGCCCAGAACCAAGCTGCAGTAGGTGGCTCAACGGCCCTTCTGATACTCAAAAGCCTTTCAGATCTTGTAGATAGTCAGGATCTGAATAGAGAAAACCAAGATTGCGTGGAAGCCAGTCCTGAATCCGGTCAAGCTACTCCGGACATCAAGTTAAACCTAGCCTTTTCTATCACTACTGAATGGCCAGTTCATGAGTTATGGCTTCATTTTCGAAGCCCTAATGAAGACTTCCAGATGGTATGCATAGGGATCTGGAGGACAACTTCGAAAAACGGGTCGCTGAATTTCTTGCGTCACCTCTCAGCTGTCTTGAGCTGGGGTAACGGCGAGTTCAAAGATAATCTAGTTAGCATTCTTCAGGATTTGTGACACAATGCATGCTCTATCTAGTAAAAGTGGCTATGTGCGAAGAAGCAAGATCTCAGTTTAATGCACAAAAAGCAATATTTTATATCTAAGCCGACCGTATAGACCTAAAATGGGTATGGGTATATTGTTAGATTCACTATCTAGTCTATAAGCCCTGATTCATTACCGATATCAACATAACCTCCAGTCTCTCACGACCGAGCAACCTCAAACTCCGAAATGTACCAATTCTGAATGGCTTTGGTATCGCCCGTAATAGCAACGGTGTCATATCGCTCTCGGGCCTCCTTGGCCATAGTACCGTTGTTAACCATACGGCCAGCCCACTTTCCATGTTTCCGCGCCGCCGCAATAATCTTATCGACAGCAGCGACAAACTCGGGCTCATCTCCACGGGCGGGCACATATCCAAGAAGCGACTGCGCCAGGTCATTCGGACCGATGAAGACGAGGTCCACTCCCGGGACGGCACAGATGGCATCGACGTTTTCGACGCCCTCACGCGTCTCTATTTGGATCATAGTCAGGATTGTCTCGTTGGCGGAGATCATGTACTCCGGGGTGGTGAGGCCATGGCCGATAGCTGGGAACGCTGAGCCTTGGCCACGCACCCCCTGCGGAGGGAATTTGGAGGAGGCGACGATTTGTTGTGCCTCTTCTGCGTTGTTGATCTGCGGGACCATGATGCCGTGTGCGCCTGTGTCTAGAGCGCGCTTGATAATGTCGTGGGCGGGGCCACGGATGCGAATAATGGGCGAGACCCCGAGCGCTGAAATGGCAGAGACAGAGTTGTGCATTGAGTCGTCGCCAATGTGGCCGTGCTCGCAGTCAATGATGATGCCGTCGACACCCGTTAAGGCAACGATCTGGGCCATGCGAACGGAGGGAATGGCCATGAAGGTCATTAATGGGTATTCTCCCGCCCTGATTTTGTTCAGGAGCCTCAGACGAGAGTTGACGATCTCGGTCGTCTGAGGCGTGGGGTAGGTCTTTGTTGGGGCTGGCATTGTGTTGTGTGTATCTGTGAGGAGCTGATGATAGTGATAATATGAGTAGCAGCTGGTGACTATGTGTCTTTTAATAAGGGTGGTCTATCCATGAGCGACACTGACTTGCTTATCTTGCAGTATAGGGCTCGGGTCATCTCCGACAGCGGGCGGGAGGAGCTCCTCAACGCTTTTCACTCCTCCCGATAAGACCCACTCGGTTTTATGTACCCCGGATTTGAACCAAAGGTCTAATTGTCCTGGTAAGATTTCCAATTGGACTGATATCTGTGGTGCTATTCCCCTCTTTCTTTATCTATGCCGCCCCACTAGCGAACCTTCCGCGAATCATTTGACTCACAGCTCCTCCAACAGCCGTCGTGGTCAATAGCCGCTCCATTGCCTGCACCATGACTCCCTGATAACAGCCATTCCGGAGCCCTTTATTACGAAGGCAAGGGGAGGAGCCCTCGTTCAGATTCAATTCTCACTCAAACAGAGACCAGCTGCCTGCAACCGGTCCATAACATTGGAATCTGCTGGTGTCGAGCAAAGAAAAACTTGTTGACCTTGATATCTATCGCACCCATAGCTACAGCCATGGACACCAAAAAAAGGCCGCTATCAATGCATAGCGATGACAATATCTCCGCTGCAGAAGGGCAACTCGATGTCCCTGACGCGGCATATAGCCGGATGCCAGAGAGCCTTCGCAATCTCAGCCGAGACGAGATCAACACCCTCAACAAGAAAATTGTGCGAAAGGTTGACCTTTTTGTACTGCCCACCATTGGGATCCTGTACATTTTGAACTACATCGACCGCCAGAATTTGGCCGCAGCCAAGCTCCAGGGGATCATGGAAGATCTCAACATGACCACCCAACAGTTTGCCACCGCAGTTTCCATCCTCTTCGTCGGCTACCTGCCCTTCCAGATTCCTAGCAACCTTATTATAACCAAGATCTCCCGGCCTGGCATGTACATCTGTGTTGCTGTCGTGATCTGGGGCTGTATCTCCGCTGCCACCGCGGCAGTCAAAACATACGGCCAGTTGCTCGCTGTTCGAGCCGTTCTCGGAGTGGCGGAGGCTGTCTTCTTCCCCGGTGCGATCTACTATCTCTCTGCATGGTACACAAAAAAGGAACTCGGGAAGCGCATTGCGGGTCTCTACATTGCACAGCAAGTTGGCAATGCCTTCGGCGGGCTCTTCGCAGCAGCCATCCTGCAACTCGACGGCACGCACAACATTGCCGGTTGGGAATGGCTCTTCATCATCGAAGGCAGCGCAACAGTCGGCATGGGGGTGATATGCGCCTGCATCATGCCCGAATTCCCACACAACAGCCGCATTCTATCCCAAATCGAGCGTGACCTCGCCGTATGGCGCATCGAGTCGGAAGCCGGAGCAGCAGAAGGCACAGAGAACGAAAGCGTACTACGCGGCTTCGCTAAAGCCCTCTCCGACCCCAAACTCCTGCTCCTCATCTTCGCAAACATGCTCTCCCAAACCCAAGGCTCTATTGCCAACTACTTCCCCACACTCGTCGGGTCCCTTAACTTCAACAACACCATCACCTTGCTCCTCACTGCCCCGCCCTACATCCTCGCCGGCGCAGTCTACTACGTCCTCATGTACTACTCTGACCGCAAGAATACCGTGTACCCGATCATCCAGCTCTGCGTGGCCATCGCCATCGTCATGTACATCATCCCCATGGCAACACTGAATGTCGGTGCCCGCTACTTCTCCATGGTCATTTTGCCCTTTGCATCCGTCGGCCCGCAACTTCTCCTCTACAAGACAATCAACCTGCATCTGGCACGCCCAGTCTCCAAACGTGCCGCTGCCTCTGCTCTGGTGAACGCTATTGGCGGAACCTCCAATATCTGGGCGTCGTATCTCTACTACGCGCCGCCGCATTTCTACGCCGCCTTCGGGACGCTGATGGCGAGTGCGGTTCTACTAGCAGTGACGATGACCGTCTACCGGTGGCTGGTCTTGCGGGAGAATAAACGCTTGGACTCGGGCGATCCGGAGCAGATCGCGAAGGTTGTCCGCGGTGGTGTCACGGAGGAGATGGTGCAGCTGAATTGGCGATACGAGATGTATTGATTTTCATGATGTTCCTAATCCATGGGATTCCCCTGCAGTAGCAGATCGCGTATACATAATTTACTTTTCTCACCCGATCGGACAATACACATCATAGTATGCCAGTAATCACAGTAACTATAGTATTAACCCGTATATAGCGTACACAGTAATGAAACTCAGGAAGCAGGAAGGCCACCTCAACTCCCCAACCCCTCCAAGCAAGACAACACAAGCCTACCCAGCATCCACCTCTCTCTCCGGCGAAAGACTTCCTTCGCCCACCCCAGCGCCCCCTCCACATCCCCATCCGCGATGCCAACAACGCGCATCGCATTCGGGATGCCGCCACGCACAAGCTGCCACGCAATCAAAAACGCCTTGTACGCATACACGGCCACCCACGGCGCCTCGCTGTCCGGCTCGCGCGTGGTATCCAGATAGCGCAGGAACCAGTCGACGTGCGGCTGGATGGCTTTCGCCGTGTCAGCCTCCCACAGGAACTCATACGACGGCGCGAGCGAGGTCGACTGGCTCACCACGGCATCCAGACTGGCCGCCACGATGCCGCCCGTGTGCGCCGGCGACCACAGATGCAGCTCGATCATGGCGGTCTCCCATGTTGCGATGGCGTGCATTGCCTTGGCGGTCTCGGGCTGCGGCCGGATAAACGGGCCCAGGGCGAGGAGCGACGAGCGCAGGGCGTCGAGGCGGTCCATGCTCAGCATGCCGGTCATGGTGGACCAGCCGGAGACCTCACGCGCGCTAGAGATGAGGAACTGGGCGATGTTGATGGCCCCGTAGGGGTCGAATGGCGGGATGGAGTCTGGACGCGCGTCGGAGGACAGGAACCGGCGCACTGCGTCAGGGTATGGGACTGCGGGTCCGGGGTTCCTGGCGACGAGATGGCGGTGCGCCCATTCGGCAGCGGAGGGTGCGATCCATTGTGCTTCGGGGCAGGGGAGGTCGTGTTTCACTTCTAGATGCGAGATGGAGCGCGGGATGGATAGGAATTGGTACCATAGTGCGTCGATCTGGTGCACGGCGAAGGAGGTTCGCTTGTGTGACTCGGCTTTGATGAATTCATGCCAGAGCGCCTCTAGATCTTCGGTCGTGGAGGTTGCGGTGGGCATGGGCTGCATGAGACCTCCTGCTCGCGCGAGGGATATCATGTTGGAGTGCATCTTGAGGCCGGATGATGATGAGTCGCCGCAGAGGTACATCATGGCGCATATTTGGAGGAGCAGATATGATTGGATGAGGGTGGTATTCTGCTTTGGGGTATCGGTTCTGCTTTCCTCAGCGGTGGTGAGAGCACGGGCGTGGTGGAAGCAACGGACGGATAGGTTTGCGCCTGAGCCGGCTTGATCGCCAGACTCTGGGTCTTCGCCGTGCTGATAGCCGAGGGAAAGAATACTGAGGAGTAGGTGTAGAGGGATATGTGTGGCGTCGAATGTTGGTTGGTGCAGAAATGGGAGAAAGTGCGAAATATGTTTGAAGAAGAGGTCACAGCCGCGTGTAATTTGCGAATGTGATGGGGACCAATCGAACTGGTAATTCGATGGAAATGTATCAGGGCTGCCTTGGCTAAACTGGGCGCCGGGGATATTTGTGTCAAATGAAGAAGGCTGTGGTATAATGGCAGATTGCAACTGGTCGTCAAGTTCGTAGGTCGGCTTCAGAAACGACGTTCCCAGGAGCAGGTTCCGTTCTAGTTCTATCGCATCTCGCACCATACGGCCCATACAATCTGACTCGTTTATTGAGGGCCCTTGGACGGATGGACCTGTTACAACTTGTTCCCTATGTACTTCAGCTGTGGCTGGGCGGTTAGTTGGGCTTCCTGCGTCGTGGCCATGGAAGAGTGGATGCTGCGTCTGCGGCAACGGCGTATTCCAAATTCCACCATCCACCTCTAGCTCACCCTCATCACCCGAATTCTGCAGGTGAAAGCCATCTTGACTGTCTGGCGACGATTCAGAAGACAGGTAGACATCATGTCGTTGCGGTCTCCGCGCGTCACTGCCTGGTCTAGAGACGATCGGCTCACGCAGGGACCTTTTCGTCGCCCGTCTCTGCTCATACTCCGGATGCTTTCTCTTCATATGTCGATGTCGCAGATCGGGACGTGAGAAAGTTGTCTGACAAAAGTCACAGGGCAGCGAGGCCTCCTCCTGTGAACGGGAATGGAGCTTGGCATGTCGCTTGAGATTCTCATGTCGGGTGAAGCGGCTTTGGCAGACATGACACTGGTACGGTTGATACGACGGGATGCGTCGGTTGACGTGGGAGACAGACATTATAAGAAGCAATTGAATCCTTCTTATGGCGTGACTGCGTCGGTTGTTGAAATGTACCACCGGAGAAAATCCCCACATACTAGTATCGTTTTCCCCGCACGGCCAAGCATCGGCTACTGTCCGGTTATCTGCTCTGCTGTCCTCCCTGCATATCTATCATATCGGAAGAGATAACGTCTGGTATTCTCTTATCAGCTGGCTGTTATCTCGGGGCATTTGCAGCATATACGATGTCACGATGGGGATTGACGACGGAATGCGCAACCGCTGGGACGCATCACAAACCTGTAAATAAAAAATAAAAAATAAAACTTAACTGTTTTTATTTTCTATCATACTACCGATACTACTAGGAATATATCTAAAATTAATCGAACCGAACACTTTGAATAAAGAATTCTCAATAATACGCATTGTGGCTGGGATTGACCTGAATAGGGGGATAGGGCTATAGCAAGCCACACCCTAGGCAAGCTCTGGTGAAAAGCGCCATACCTCGGTTTGCTTTCACTGCCACTCAATATAGACCCGGCATCGCTCATATTAGAAATTAGTGGCATCATGAGCTTTTGCACATACAATCCAGAATTAAAAGACAAGCCTTAGGAACAAGTGGGGCGTGTGGCGGATTTGGTATGTGGGCCGGGTCAACAATCTACCCGACTCGCAAAGACATGCCAATGGTTTGGAGAAACGGATGATGATCTGCAAGCTTAATGAGAGTAGGAGTCGGGACTCGGATCAGCTTCACATTCATGTGTCCACTTGAAGGAGGAGTCCCGCAAGATCGCAAGATCTTCAGTGTTAGAGTAAGAACTGGACAGAACGTTTGCCACCTCTAAAAATATAAAGGGTCTGCAGGGGTAGGTGTTTGTCCTAGAATCAATCATTATCTATCTTAGACATGCGATACGACACCAATATAAGGCCTGTTTCTATTTGCTTTCAAGATTTATTGAACATTTAATCCTATCTCCAAAACTTGGTACACTCAAGAAATGGCAGCGTTCATAGGAGCGAATCTGAACCCTTGCAATTATATTGGAGGTGTGAGCTTCAACCCTGATCGAGACATCCCAGATCTATCAGGAAAGGTAGCGTTGGTGACTGGAGGTATGTCGTGATTCACCTGGGAGAAGTAAGACCACATACTAATTCTTTGCAGGAAATGCTGGACTAGGCAAAGAAACAATTCTTCAGTTGGCCAAACATCGACCACAAAGAATATATCTTGCCGCACGGTCGGAGTCGAAAGCGCAGACGGCTATCAGCTCTATAAAAGCGTCGCTATCGAAGAATGTTGAAATAACCTGGCTTCCGCTGGATTTAATGTCTATTAAATCGATTCAAACAGCGGCACAAAAATTCCACGCAGAATCATCACGGCTCGACATATTGATCCTCAATGCAGGTGTGATGTCTCTTCCACCAGGAGAGACAGAGATGGGCCATGAGATCCAGCTTGGTACTAACCATACTGGTCACTTTCTTCTCACAAAGCTGTTGTTGCCCACATTACTCAAGACAGCAGAAGAGCCCAATTCAGATGTGCGGGTTGTATCACTCGCATCGATCGGACATAATCTGGCCCCCTCTTTTGAGACCATCCTGGATCAAGACCGGTTGAAGAAGGTGAACACGAACACTCGATACGGAGCGTCAAAGGCAGCAAATATTCTATTCGCAGCTGAGCTTGCGCGGCGATATCCTTCCATAACCTCCGTGTCCGTCCATCCCGGGATTATTCTCACTGATCTATACAGCTCGTTGAACGAGCGCTCTACCCTTGCTGCGTTGGGCTCAAAGACACTGAACCTTCTTGGAACGCCCGTTCCTCAGGGGGCCTATAATGAGCTGTGGGCCGCAGCTGGTGCGAAAAAGCAAGACCTCGTCAATGGAAGCTACTACATTCCCGTGGGACATTTGAAGCCATATAATCACTATGCTAACAGCAAGGATATGGGAAAACGCTTGTGGGACTGGACCGAATCCGAGCTACGCAAGTTCAATGCTTTGCCTTGAGTTGTCATATTTCTATTTTCTTACCTCGTTTTGTTTTGAAATCTAAATGTATGTATATGTGTCTTTGGAATGACAAAATATTGCCACTTTTCCTTCTTGGCGGAACCAACCTCGGAGTTTCAGTAAATCCGACAATTAGGCCTCTGAAGATTGTGGGCCAGACTAACTAGATGGAGCACCGGTTGCGAGACGCTCTGATGTTTAACTTTCGGACCTGATTCTCTATCGTGGGGGAAGGCCGTCGAGTTCTACCCCAACCCGTTGGCTCAAGTGTCAGGCTGAACGCGCACCAATTGAATCAGTATAACCTCCATGTTGAGATTATAGTTGTTATATCACAAAACGTAGCTTATACTTGTGAGTTCGGTGTGATTTTTGAATTAGAATGAGAAGCAAACATCCCAGCTGAGCTGATCACAGTAGAAAGGGTGTTTCTGGAATATGTCTTGACAGGTATCAAATGGCAAATTGCCAGGTTTATAATGATTCTTGCCAGGTTCTTTCGCCTATCAAGTTTAACGTAAACCCATGGACGGGCTGATGACTAGTGAACATTGATTCTATAAACCGGTCACGGTGCAGGTGAGGGTTGAGAATGCCTAGTAATGTTGCAATATGCCACGGGTAGTCATGTGGGAGCAGCAACTAGGGTTACTAGTAGTAAGGGCATTGTACAGTAATTATAACCACTCGAGTAATAGATCTTCTACCCTTCAGGGACTGTGTCGGTAACCACAGCGACTCTATATTTCCCGTATCTTGCTTGAAAGTATCCGGCCATGGGCTTGCAATCGGGCATTTAACACTCGATAGACGGGCAATGGGGTACTTAACCTGCAATATATACCTGAATATATCATCGCACGCCTATACCCAAGCTTCCCTCATCCATCACTCCCATCGGACCGTATTGGCACTACATGTATTACAACAAGCTATGATAGAGAATCTTATTCCGTTATCTTTGGTAGCTATGAGGGGGTGAGGAGAAACTTTGCGAATTGCACAAGGCTCATCTTGGAAAAGTCCGGGAAGTGGTATACGAGGTTTTCTGGTCGGAAAACACACTATTGGGAAATGCCGACTAGATTATTTAAAATCCAACATTACTCGTATGAATGCATGTATGCCCCAGGTTAGAACCTCCCTAGCGCTTTTGCAAGGATACTTGCCCCTTATTCTTCGGCATAACCCGCCATCACCGACAAAGACATTCACGGATATCTGCATATTCATGTCGATCTTCGCTGGGGCCCTCCATGGACAGTAGTCACGGTGTCATTATGGAAGTGGTCAAAATGAGGTTGTATGGTGATGTAGCTTCTGGTAGTGCACGGCAGTTACTACATCAGTCGGCGTGAACGGATATCTACGGATATTCATGTTCAATTACGCGCCGCGGAAATTGTTTCTGACCTATCTTCTCGAAGAGAGATGCAGTTCATGCAGTTCTATACATTTCCTTGGCATACTTGAGACTGAAGTTGATATGGGGAGCCACCCAAGAGTTACATGATAATTGATCTACTCAACTTATCGAATCGCGCTCAATCGAACCATACAATGCCGCTAGACCCGGGAAATGAGTTGTGTTTCATGTCTTCAACGCGACCCACACCGGGGATTGTCCAGATCGCCTATAAAACACTCTAATTTTATAGGGTTACATTCTGGTCACGCCAAGAGATTTCCAAAATGCTCTGCACGCTCCCCCTTCCAACGCTCTCCTAATGGATTGTTCTTCGGCCCAATCATAAGAGGATCTGATATCAGCCCTGGAAATGAGTTTGCATGCAGGACATAGGGCGATGCGACAACTAGGGCTTAGCCTGCTCGTCGATAATGTACCTAAACAGAAGGTGGACAGTTCTTCAGAAACCCAACCATGAATCCTGGCGCCGATGTAACGTGACGAAACTGAGCCTGCTGCAAGTTCTGCTTAAGCTCATTTCTCTAATTCACGTTTTACGTACTTGGAATTGATAGGCATCCAGCACCGACCTGTGTGATGTGCTGCTTTGGTAACGTCCAATTGTGACATCGTCGGCATTTCGCCTATACACAACAATGAATATTATCGATATGCGCTGTAATTGCCTGTGCGTGTTGATCGTATCCTATTCTAGGTGTCTGTATATTATACATCACTCTAAGCGCCGTCGAATGTCACCGTCGAACAACCTCAACGTGATGTATGGGACGGACAATTTCCATGGATGGGGTTGCAGTATCCACACATCATAGCATCCAGTATCATGCCTCACATTTAATTAAACAACGTAGCATCGGAGGATCATTACATATCCGGCGAGGGTAACAGGGATATGAGACAAGATATCAGTTCGTCAAACCACGAATATATAAGAACACCAACTCGCGACCAAGACATTGGCATCTCAGAACGTGCCTCCATCTCAAGCCAACACCCTCACCTTGTCCAACAAGCGCAACAAAGCCCCCAGACCAAGCAAAATGCATTTCACCGCCTACATCGTCGCTGCAATCGCAACCGCCAGTACCGCTCTGGCCCATATGGAAATGATCCGTCCTTTCCCTTTGAAGAGTCAGTTCGATCCCAAGAATGACTGGTCGAACATTGACTACGACAACACCTCCCCATTGGAGCCAAATGGTAAGACCCGTAACCGGGTTGAGTCCCTTATCCCTTCGAGATAGCCCAGCCGGATCTAATCATGGCATCCAAACACAGGATCCAACTTCCCCTGCAGAGGCCACCATAAGAACGCCGCCTGGCGCACCGTTGCCAACTACACCGCCGGCCAAAGCGACTACATGAAACTTGCGCCCGGAAACAACCACCGTGGAGGCTCCTGCCAGATCTCGCTCAGCTACGATAACGGCGAGACCTTCCGTGTGATCGAGTCGTACATGGGAGGATGCCCCCTCAAGCTTGAATGGGACTTTGAGATCCCCTCGTTCGCGCCCGGTGGCCAGGCGCTGTTCGCTTGGAGCTGGTTCAACATCGAGGGAAACCGCGAGATGTACATGAACTGCGCCCAGGTCGAGATCGAGGGCGGCTCTGACTCCACGCAATTTAATCAGCTGCCCGAGATCTTCACGGCGAATATTGGAAACGGATGCAGTACCGTCGAGGGCAAGGAGACTGTCTTTGCACACCCCGGTGACAGTGTTGGATATGCTGGAAAGGTTTCGCCAGGTGACGCTCCTTTCCCCAAGTGTGGTGGAAATGCCTAGTAAGGGGGAAAAGGCAGAGATGGAGGAGATTACTTTCTGATGGCTGGTTCTTGTGATTGATTCACTTTTGTCTTGTGATTTATTCTATTCTTTACAGCGGGTTGATCCTGTATATATTCTTGTTTCTGGAAACGGGAACTATTTGATCTGCAGTTTTTTGTGGAGAATTTGAGACCCTATTGTATAGGCATCTTTGGAATCCGGTAAAGCAAACAGATTTGTTATTGTTGTAGATTAATTCTATGCTATAACTGTCAGTGGAGGCTCCTCCATCTCTCTATTGGCGTGATACTATCAGTCGCAAAGTATGTGTCCGGAGTTTTACGTGCGGCATTCAGCATGCTACATGTACTCTATGCAGCATCCTCACGCTCGTATTCTATTTGCATGCTGAATGACTAACAATGACAAAAAGAAAAACATACAACAGGAGGGATTCGCTGGTGGTCACCCACCCAACTACTAACCTCCCGGCGTGTGGCTTAAGTACGGCTGAGCGGACGGGAAGCCCTGTTCTCCACACCCTATGGTCGTATGTACGAGCTTAGCATAAGTTATCGTTTATATTGGTAACAACATATACGGATATGTCCAACTATAATGATCAAGCTTGCCCTGACCACCAATGCCTCGCACGCCTCCCTCGATTGTGACAGCGACATGAATATGAAATAACTCTGCCGAAGCCCTAACCCTATCTAACACGATATCTGTATCTAAATATATCTCAAATAAAATCAATTGCCACAGTATGCTCATGATCCCGTTTCTTCAGCCGTATGAAGTCCGTGCCGAGCATATATATATATTTGTTCCTGAGGGATGTTGCCTTCTTTTACTGCTTTCCCCAAAACACATTCTAAAATTGCATTCCGATATAGATTAGGATCAAAGCTACTTTAAAGACCGGAATGCCCTCTGGTGCCACACGGTTCGCCTTAATATTTCTCTCGGCCCAAAGCTGGGTCCTCTGCCGCGTCAACCTAACCACCCCATGTTTGCTTGCCGTTAGTAGTTGCGTACTCGGCCACCATGCGTACCATTCCGTTGAAGTACGGACATAAGATCCACATAACTCTGGTAGTCCGCTCCCGTTAGAAACGCGGTGTGGGTGGCCTCTATGGCAGAATATCTCGCTCCATACTTGCTGTCCACCTCACAGTATGGGAATGCTTTTGCGTCGGGCTCCCTCTCGAGCTTCTGGCGTACCCGCTGGACCAACCCGGGATCACCCCACGTATCGTCAAGGTCAAGCATCTGCAGTTGACTATCTTTCCATGTAAGCTGAAAGTTTGTAAGCCGAGAAAAAGGCTCCTGTGCCAGAGTGGCAAATAGCTCTCTCCAGTCGATCGGTTGCCCGTATTGCCATGGCCGCTCGCCACTTGCAAAACAGTCCTCGAACGCAATAGACTCCAACGTGGTCTTGTGCCGAACAAGAAAGTCGCGCAGCTCAGAACAGAGGATAATGTTCTTCAATGTAACTTTCCGCAGCCTTGGCATTGTCGCATTTCTTAGACCGATGTCCTCGCAATACGGTTGCCCTCCGTTTCCAAGCGATGCCGTTTCCCGGGGATCGAAGGAGAATTCTTCCACGGTGGCGAGGTGGTTGAAGAAGAAGGGCCCTAGGTAGTGTGAGAAATCGCTGAAGATGGGTTGGGTCATCATTGTCCAGCCAACGCCATTATCCCATCTCCGTATAGAGAGATTGAAAGTCGTAAGTTGTGATAGGAAGGACTGGAATGCGTCGGTTGTGAAAATTGATACCATGAAAATGTTCAGATCGCGGAATTCGATGGATAGGGGTGGTTGACCACTGGATGAGGAGTGAGTGTAATTGGATACGATTGCGTGAAGGCTTGCTGCCATCAGTCCGCGCCAGGCATTTTCACTCTCCTCAGATGGAGCGTTCTCGGGGTAGAATATATCACTTTGAAAGTATTCGATCAATAGGTCATCGTCGTAGTCGAAGGGAAATTCGATCACGAGTTTGTCAAGATTACTGAACATGCGTAGATTGGATAGAACTCGGTCAACCTCTGGGGGATACACCTTCTCCAGGGGCGAGCTCTGCTGATCTGCGGAGCGAATGGTTAGATTCTCTGGCATTCGTTGTTGTCATTCTGTGCCACATACCCGTCTCACAAATACCAATGTAGCGCAGCGTCTTGACACATGCAGCATGCTTCCCCCGACTGATCGCAGTGATTGACTGGGCGCTTTTTGCCGTATTGTATAATTCGAGGTTGCCCAATATGGTGGGAGCAAGCAAATCCCGAAACCATGTGCATGTACTACTCATGTTTATGAGATCAGGAAGATGACGTAGTCTCCGGGCTATACGCTTGGGTTTCCAGAAACTATCAGGGTCCTCATCATCGTCCTCTTCTTCGTCCGGTTCAGGCTCTTCACGAAGAATGTCAAGCACAATATACCACACATCAACCCCGAGCGAGAAAAGCGGGGACACATGTTGGTCGACTGAATGAGTTGCTAGTGCCATTGTAAAACGATTTCATCTATGGTGGGAAACAACCTCCTCTTCACAGAGCTGGCGTCAAGGCCATCTATATATATGTACCTTTCGTTATCCCAGGCGACCTGTTGTAGTAGAAAAAACAGCATTTTTTTTGTTGGCGCCTAAGCCAAGACAGTAGCGCTTGCCTGCCTAGAATTGAGATATACGACTATCGCCGAGGCTGTCGTAATTAGCGTACTTCTCATCCCATCATGCCGTAAATTAACAAATGGCTTCGATCCCAACTCCAAAGTTGAAAATCTTGCATTAGTGGCTTTACCTAGCATGCTTTTGGTGTAGGTTTATAATGATAAACGCAATACTACTATTGTTTATAGCGAGGTCAAGGCGGCTCCATCCGGGATGTGAGCCCAACTAGGAACAGGAGACGAAAGCAGTGTACATACAAAATATAACTGGGGTTAGCGAGGGGCAAACTCCACACCATTCTGCTGACAAGTTCGTTCTAACCCGGTTCCGTTGAAGCCATCATCAACGATCCCACCCGTTGATCAATGCCGAGTATACGTAGGGTCAAGGTGCTCTCAGCAGGAAAAACACAACAAGATGCTGTATGGTAATGTTCAATTTGGCTGCGAATATATATTTGAAGAATAGTCGATATGTACGGCCATCGTCGTGGTAAAGCGTCACATCCATGCCCTCAAAAAACGAATATTGGCCTGACAAGAAACTAACATGGTGCAAGAAATTGCACGAGTGCATTCACATCCCATGGACCCGGCTACGCAACCCAGACATGTCGACCCCTATTTACAGTGATCCTTGTTTCGAAGAGAGCTACAGGCTAGGCTTAACTAGTGGCGGTGCTGGTTCTCTTTGACCTTTTCGCAAGTAAGTGCAGGTTCTGGAAGACAGCCCGCACTGTCATCATGGAGTGGATCTGCGGGCCGGGTAGCCTATACCTCGGCGGAGCTTCCCACATGGACAATCATTGGTAGATCACTTTCTTTTATTTTCAAAGGAAAATGGAAAATGAAGCTATTCAGAGTAGGGTTCGTCCCGTCTTCATGACTTTTGTTGTAGAGATAGTAAGCATGTTTGCTTACCTGCCTGGCTACCTACCTGAGAACTGGATTGAAATCAGCTGCTTGCCCTTGATGCTGTTAGTGAAACCAGATCTTTAGTATACTCCAATTGCAGCTAGGCAATATTCACTGATGCAACCAACGTATTCTCTCAATGAGAGTACTGCCGTAATTGTGTTAGACTTCAGCTGCGCCGCAGAAAAGGGAATAAGCTTTGCCACCAGCAAAGAGCTCCAGCTACGGATGAAAGATATGACCTGGTTGTTGGAAGGTGCAAGTTGTTAGATATAGATGTACAATGCTTTTCCTTTCCAGCGTCAGTCACCCACGGCTCTATAGACAAAGTCCAAAAGTTAAGGAATGGTTGTTGACTGGCTTCCCTCTTCCAAAAACGAATTCAACCGTGAACTAAATAGTGTATCCACCTCACTCGCATCAATGAATTGAACCACTGCAAGCGTTACCTGCTTATCTGTTCCACATGTGCCACTAGCACAACAAGCCGGGCTCTCGGGCGTGCATCCATTCTCATTACAACTGCATTTACTTTCCGCCTTCTGTGCATAAACCATCCACTGGATGCAGCCATCGTCAGACGACACAATAAAGGCACCGCCGTATTTATCAGCATTTCCTTTATCGCAATTAGAGACAATCTTTTCATAGGCGCTTGTACACTGTTCCGGATAGTTTAGTCATAGTCAGATATGGGGAAGGAGGATACAGACTTTGTCTTTTACCAGCTTGAATCCCTTCTCAGGCCGGCACCCGGATTGGTTGTCTGCCCATTGCAAAGAGGCGATCACATTGATGCCCTTTTGGCCAGAGTAGACATAGTTGTAAGGGGGGCCTTTAGGGCTGAGAGTGTTGCCGGATCCGCACAGCGAAGATACTGCGGAACTGACAGAGTCGGTGTTGAATGACGCGAACGAGCCGTCATTATGCTCCTTAAAGCAATAGACGGGGAACGAACCTGGGTCGCTGACGGTTGGTATAGGTATAGAAGTCGTCCCGGACGGCTGGGAAGAGGTAGTAGTAGTTGGTTTCGTTGTTGTAGTCCCTTTGCCGCTCGCTGTGTATTGGTTGTCGGACCCTAGAGTAGGTATAGGGCCATTGGGGTCCCAAGTCCCTATTGGAGCGGGATCTGTGGTTAGTGGGCAGAGATTTGTTGTTGTTGCTGTGGTCGCTGTTGTGCCCTTGGTCTCGCAGCCGAGCGTGGTGGAGCATTCGGTTGTGAAACATGCTGTTGTACGTGAAGTATCGCCATAGTTCGTGACTGAGCAGCCCACCTTGCAATTCGTTGCTGTCACGCTAGTTGCACACGTCGTTGGTTCTTTTGTGGTTGTAGACCCTGTGTCCTTTCCTCCACTACAACCTTCAGGGTCGTAGCAAGTACATCCATTTCCACTGCAGCTGCTGCAACTAGGGCCCGAACAACCGCAACTGGATCCTAGACAGCCACACCCAGCCCCAGAGCAACCGGTACAGCCAGAAGAAATGCATTTGCAGAACAGTCCCAGAAGGCCTGAGCAGCTACATCCCAAACCAGAACACGCAGTGCAGTGTGGGCCTTTACAACCGCAGTGTCCGTGAGAGCAGGCACAGTGTATTCCTACACAAGCACTGCAATGGGGTCCGGTGCAACTTCCGGAGCTCGGGCTACAGTCCTTGCCTGAGCAACTCACACAGTCCTCTCCGATACAGCGCCCATCGTGACAGTCCTTCCCTTTGCATGCGTTGCAGTCATCTCCAGTACACTTTCCGTCCTCGCAGCCTTGCCCTGTACAACTACTGCAGTCGTCTCCTGTGCAACTGCCCCCACCTCCAGTAGAACAGTCGGCACCTGTACACCCATCATAGCTGGTGCAGGAACTTCCTGTACAAGTGCCTGAGACGCATCCAGCACCGCTGCAAGTTCCCTCCCAGCAGTTGGGACCATGGCAAACGCCATCCTTCCCACAGTCCAATCCAGAGCACCCCAAAGCGATGCAACGGTCACCACTACACTTCCCATCACTGCCACATTGTGGGCCTACACAACCTGCCGTGATGCAGCCAGAGGAGATACATACCCCATCCTTACAGCCTGGCCCAATGCACCCTCGGACAACACAATCACTTGGTCCCGTACAAACACCGTTGAGACACCCAGTCCCGGTGCAGCCAAAGGAGGCGCACAGAAGACCCGTGCATTGCCCGCCTTTGCAGTCAGGGCCCTTGCAATGCCCATTAGTAACCACTGGCCATGGCTGGTCACCGGTAGGTACAGGGGTAGGGGGGCTTGTGGAGCCGCCACCACCACCGCCTCCACTTCCCCCGTCCCCAGCTCCACCGCCATTCGGACACCAAGCGGGCGGAGGAGGACAGGTCTGCGCTGCGTTCCCTCCGGCAGTCGGAGAAGGGGCCAAAACACAAGCTCCCCTTTCGGATTCTAGACCACCATTGAAAGCGCTAACGCACCACTCATAATTCCAAGTTCCCGGGAAGAGAAAGTATTGATCGCTGCAGGTAGTTTCGACCGTGCCGTTTTGCGCAGTAAGCACGCTTGTGCTGTCGTGCACATTTCTATTCCAGAGACGATATCCAGCTGCGTTTGCCGATTTGCCCCACGTCATATGGACCGTTGTTGGATCATTGGCAAAGATTTTCAAATCAGTCGGCGGGGCCGGAGTCCCAGCGCCGGGCACAACGCCGGTAACAATTGCTGGGAACCCTTCACCTGCAGAATTCCACGTTTCGATGGCTATGAAATAATAATGCCCTGACTTGAGATTGCCAATGTGCCCCGAGGTTCCAGTGAAGGCCCCCCCTGTAATAAAGGTACAATCCACCGATTTGTCCCAGTAAAGTACATTATACTCGATAATCGAATCAGTATAAGCGCCGGTGGGAGGATCCCAAGAGATGTCAAAGCCAGTTGTAGTAGCTTTCACAACTACATTACGGGGAGCCGCCGCAGTCTGAGGATGCGCTGTTGCAGACAGTACTGACGTCCAGTCTCCTTTGATATTGTCGCCAGCGCTAGCACGGACCCTAACTTCATACACCCAGCCGTCAATTGGCCAGGTCGAGTCCCATCGCGGTGTAGAGACGCTCCCTGCAGAAAAGTTCGGGATACCACCTTGAATCCGAGACTGAACATCGTAGCTGTATGCTCCATAGACTACCAATGTTCAATTAGCACCGGCTATAGTACCACATCCTGTTACCGTAGGAACCTACCTGGATCCCATGTAGCTGTTACTCCCGTGGCACTGGTAAAGACTTTAAAATTAGACGGTACAGAGAGTGGCCTTCCAGGTAGACTATCAGGGATAGATAATGGGGAGCTTCCAATCTTGAAGTCTTTCACCAGAGTACGAGTAAATGCGTGAGCAATTTGATACTCACCCCTCGCAGTTGGATGAAGTCCGTCATAGCCGGCTGCACATCCACTAGGTTCACAGTCGTAATTCTCCTGTAGCTTGACAAGGGAGATCGGGGAATCGGCTGTGCTCCATTTCGGAATTGAATCGCGTAACAGGGCGTTATATATATTGGTACTGACTGGAAGATCCTCTCGGCCTCCAATGAAGCTTCGTTGCGGTACGTTGGCAATAGCAAACTTAAGCTTTGGGTTGGCAGAGCGAGCGTTGGTGACAAGAGTGTTGATACTATCCAGAGTACCTCCAGAATCACTGTAAAACCATCCCATATCATTAAAGCCCAACATAATGAGCATCAAGTCTGCAGGGTACGTGCTGAGCACATCATAGATCAACCCTTTATCAACAGCAGCTGCACGACCCCAAACTGCGAAATGGTCTTTATCAAAGTCTGAGGAGACATCGGCAGCATAGCCACCGCTCGTCTTTGGCTTTCCAGGCAATGGCTTTTGCCCGTACAATGGAGGCAATGCCGGTGCCGCCGGGTGGTCAGGTTGAACTGTGCCGGTGTACGGCCCGACAAAGTCTACAGCGACTCCCTGTTCTTTGAACCATTGCCAGATACGATAACGCCAGGTGTAGTCACCTTCTTGGCCTTGTGTCATTGAATCCCCAACGATCATGACTCTTAGGGCGTTGCCACGTCCAATCAGACCATTAACAGTCATCCCAGTATCTGAGTCCGTCCTGATAGAATCTCTTATAGCAGCCATCATCTGCAGCGTGTTGTCCTTAGCTTCGTACGTTTGTAAAGGTGGCATAAGCTTGGCAACCTGTGTCCAAGTGTTGTAATCATCGATGGTTGTTGGTAGAGGGATCGGTGGGACACTGGCCAACTGAGATACCTGAGCTGAAATGAGAGATTCTATAGCCACGGCGGACGAGAATGCTATAGTTGAACTAGAGGTTGCCATAGGACCATTGGCGCTGGGCGAAGCACTACTCTCGGTAGCTCGTTGCGCCAACCGCCATGGGAAGGAAATAGCATGAGCCGAGGAGAAGAAATAACAAATGATTGCAAGATAAAAATGGACATAGAAAGTCCCTTGTGTCCTATGTTGCCACAGGCTTCCCTTGTGGTAGGCCATCTTAACTTTGGTCCGACTAAGCCTGACTTGTAGAATCTATGGTGATGGTCGCCAATATATAGTACATTCCTTCTACCTTGTGCACCAAAGACTGTCTGCGCACCTGTCTAGTGCCTTCATCTCACAACTCCATTGATAAAACTCAGACCTTGCTCATGGACGGCAAAGCAGGGGCGAAGGGTACAGTCTAAGGCCGAGTATGAAGAGGTAAATTACCGATACGCTCTATCCTGATCAGCGTGACATCGTGGACGCCTAGCGTGTAAACGAGACCAGGATCTATCACAGATATCTTTCCTCGCACGGCTTGGTTCTGTGCATTGCCGGCTCTCTCCGACGTTGGGGTTCTCTCAACAGGGGTGTGAGCAGGAGGAAACCGGCGAAAAAAGCAATAACAGTTTAGAGTAACCAGATTCGGTCCATGATGCGACGCTAAAAACCAGGAACACGCCATTTTCAAATAACGGGATGATAATAGTATACAATTGGATGATGAATGCGGAGAATGTTTGAGAGATTGAAGTTGGAATTGGGATGGCGGATCACATGAGGACAACAGTTCGCGACAGAACGATTGCACGCTACAGCCATCTGCCGACGTTATCTCGGTTAGTAGATCGTACGGGCTAATAGGATGTAGCATTTACATGGATATCTCGGGTTCTCGAGGATCCGGCGCCAATTATTGACATCTGATCCTCCAATATCGATCGATGCTACATAACTATACCTGATCAGAAAGATTAGATTGCAATCACGGGATTCGGGCCAACATGCGGCGGAACAAGGACCAATCGGGGAACCCCCATGTGGCTTGCTTCCCCTCATCTCGTTTGTATTGTTTAACCTTGAATTCTCGCCGTAAAGCTTAATCGGGAATAGCTGGGCTAACCCATTAATCTATTAATATATCATGGTCTAGACCAGCATTTCTTCCTTTGCCTTTCAACTCATCGTGGAGATTTCCAAGCCATGGCCCCCCTGACTTTGGATAGTCTTCCAATGGAACTGATTGAGACTGTTATCAATTTTCTGGACTTTCAAGACCTCTGTGCCCTTCGTTTAACTGCACATGGTATTTCGGCCAAATCATCCAATGGTCGATTCCGTCAGAATTTGAAATCCAAGAGATTACACATCGCACAGGCCCCCTTGGAAGATTTCGCTCACTTTACTCAACCAGGCCAGGTTGGGTGTGCGCTCCAACATCTTACTTTATCCGACTTTGGGGTGGCAAATGCGTCTGACAAGTGCCTTGAGGCAGCTAAGCTGCTAGTGCAAGGAATGGAGAACCTGCGCCAAAATACTTCACATGGTGGCTTAGTATCTCTGTCTCTTTCCCTTCACGAGCCAATAGATTCAGAGCTGGAAGAGGCAGAGCATGCCACGGCAAAGTTGTTTGACCTTGTTATGCTGGCACTCAGCAACAGCAAATTGTCTGTGCAGATCGTGGACATTTTTGCTAAATGTTTCCCCATTCGCTGTGCCCTAGCCTGCGGTGAAATAATGGCAGTTATGGAGAAAGCAGACCTGTCTTCCACATTCAGAGAGTGTAAAGAGCTATGTTTAAGCTTGTCACACTGGTTACGCGATCTCGATGAGCACTACGAGTCTCCGCTATCCTTTGATCAAGCTAGGGATCATACCCGATGTATCTGTGATTTTGTGAATATGTTCCCAGTGCTAGAGGAACTTCACTTGGCGTGGGTATATTACGATCTCGCCTACACGGATGCCATACAGGAAGAAGAGCATTTCTTTAATCGAATCGCAAATTCCTGTCCATTCCCATTGCTCAAGAAGTGTACCTTTCATAACATTCGCACGACCGAGGCAGCCCTGCTTCAATTTCTCAAAAACGTTCAATTGGCCAGTCTATCGATGGAAAATGTGTATCTGGTCAGTGGAAGGTTTGAGTCCATTTTTCATCATCTATCCACTTCCCAACCAAATTTGGAATATTTGCATCTCCACCAGCTGGTGCACGATCCATCTACTGTTTATTTTGATGTACCTCGCGTGCCCCAATACCCTCGTATTCGGGGTAGGGGCAACAGAAGAAACCTGGGGCCTATTTCCGTTACACGAATGGGAGCTGATGCAAGGAGACTGGTAGGAATCATTAATCGGCATCAGCGGCAGTAGCATGTTAAGAACCGAGGGGTTTTCTTTGAACCTCGGTGAAATGGTAATTTAATTTTCAAGGATATTGTCCCAAGTCCCCTGCTTAAGGTGCACCGGGAAATAGATCAATAATGGCATTATACATGTCTGCTGCTGCACTCCGCCACTTTCAAGACCATTGAGGGCCCATGTTGAACTCCATAGTCAGCAATTCCCGATCCCTGCTCCGGATTATGAGCTAGGCTAGCGTATGTAACCTCATTTATTAAGATAGAGCTGGAACGAGGTCCCTATTCCTAAGAATGGTATAAGTCGTGACATGGGAATACAGGCCTATAGGAGCAGTACGACCCCTATTCTTTGATAGTTATTGATAATCTACCACACTGACTTCCATGTTTCTCCTTACAATCATAACACGCGAAAGAATCTCAGCAAGCGATGTTGCTCATTACAAAATGGATGTTTTGTATCCTATTGCCGCTTTTATGGAAGCAAGGCGACGCTAGGATACCACCAGCAATCCCGTCAGGCACTTTGCAGCCGCTACAGTTTGGGTTGGCGTATAATACAAACCACACCTTGAACTCTCGAGGGTACGTGAAAGCTACGATAAACACACTATATCTGACTTTATTAGGGATCCCGACTGTGCCGGAAGCTTTGATGCCTCGTCTTGTGAGCCCATATGTAGTCCATCTAGCTTTCACTGTTCAAAGGGCTTGAGGTCACGCAGTTACCAGGACTGGTTCCACAATGCAACCGATGGCAATAATACAGAATCCGATTCCGGACCAAAACTATTTCTCGGGAAACGGGCTTTCAAGACTCTTACACTCGCCGATGTTAGGAAATACGTCGCAAATAGCTATGAACAACCAGATCCCTATTTTGGGCAGCCTCTTGAGATTATTGAATTTGATGACGACGGGGAGTCAACAGATGCCTCCGGTACACAGCAAGTGATATTTGGAAGCGAGCCATTTCAGATTGGCACGGACAGCTTAACAGGCTGTACTATAGTAACCGTCGTCTCGAAGCGAGCGGTTTATATGGTATGAAGCACACTCTGTCGAACTTGAGGCTGGGAACAATGGCTAAAATATCTAAAGGGACATTACTGGGAGAACCCAAGCTGGGGTAATGCGCCTAAATTTACGAGAAATGTCCTGAACTTTATCGCTGGGCGTACGCCGCGATCGGGAGTCGGTCCAACCTTAGACCCAGCGCTTTTCAATGCTCAGGATGATGATACACGTATATACCTCATGCATCCACGCTTGGGACAAAAGGAGCATACATCGCCGTATAAATCGCCTAGGTACTGGAAAAAGTTCGAAGAGTTGAAGAATCTGCTCAATACAGAGCTTCTGCCCGGCGCGGCCACGGCCTCATGGTTCTACATTACAGCTGAAACGTCGCGCGAAGTTCCCGCATACAGGCGGCACGCTATATTCCAATATGACCCGGTTGCTCATGGGCGTAATAAGAAAGGCTGGAGGCTCTTTTATGAAGATCATTACTTTGATGATACAAATCCACCCCCAGGTCCTGAATCTGCTGATGGCATCCCTGACCTATGATAGTGAATCTCAGCAGATCTTGGATTGGGGAACTCATGGCTTCGGGCTCCGACCCATTCTGAACCTGTCTTAAAATGGAATCGAGTTTTGGACCTTCAATCAGCTCTGTGATCGGTAGTGACAGCCTGTGTGGCATGGTTTCTTTAGGCCATGCCAGCCTTCACTGGATGGTAGTTGATAGTTTGGTTTGTGAAATTATGTATGTGATCCTATTCTTAGTTGGGTTAAGAATAGAAATGTGTGCGCGTGGAGATTGGTCCCATTATTCTGATCGTATATCTCGCTGAGTTGAGGCATAACATGGTCTAGCCAGGGTATATTTACGTGGTCGGTAGCCCAGCCATCTGCACCAGTTCCTAGATTGCCAGTCATGTTGTAGATCTATTTCTTCCCAGTCATCAACGTGGATGTAGGCTTTGAAGGTAGCAGCGGGTGAAAGGGCCCGACGAGTGCAGTACAGATAGAAGTAACCGGTTCCTAGCTACCTGGTTGTGGCAGGAAATGCTTTCCTTACGTTTCAACTCTGGTGGCCACCTCGCTAAGATCACTTCAGTATAAGCCTAGGATCTTCGCATTTAGTCCGCGGATAATTAAATCTGGGTGTCTAGTGTGACGTCAACTTAATTCAATGGTAGGTGAGCTTATACGCCCCCCTTCTTGCTGACATGTGTATGCCAAACGGCCTAGCTCACTTCAAAGGGCAGAACTCGATGCTGCGAGAGAAATCCCTAGGCACTTGCTGCGACATCAATACCGATCATAGAAGCTGGAGCCCAAGGCACACGTGCAACCGGAAGAGATCCAATATCGCTTCCTGCCACCACATGTCTCCCGAGATATCCAATAAATCCCATCCTGACAAGGGCATACGTTGGTGGCTTTGCTGCGCCTTTGTTTGACAAGAGATGATTGATGTGATACACAAGCGCCGACTGCGCCAATCCCGGTGATAAGAAATTAGCCTGCATATAATCATCATCCACACAAAGAATGCCGCCCTTTCTTCGTTCCCCGTCGGAGCTCACTCTCTTTATATATATGCCCTTGTCCTTGTCACATCCCTCCTCTATCCTTATTAAGTCACCTTTCATCCACCCCATATTCACCCGTCCTGCTTTTCTCTGTTCGGCCTCTCTTCAATTAATTGCTTCTATTGGATAACTTCTAGCAAAGATCACCTCCATGTCAATTACGGACGCCGACATCATCATTGTCGGAGGAGGCACGGCTGGCCTTACTCTGGCAGCACGCCTATCCGAGAATCCCAACCTCCAGGTTCTCGTCCTGGAAGCGGGCCAAGACCAGACTGAGGATCCTCGAGTTCAGACCCCGGCGCTTTGGCCAGGACTTGTGGCCACAGACTCGGACTGGAAGTTCATGACAGCGCCACAGGTCAGATTGCATCTTGCGTCCCACAGGCTGCTTATGCTAATCCGTCCTTCTCAGGTTGCCTTGAACGGTAAGCAGATACCCCTACCACAAGGCCGTCTCCTAGGTGGGTCGAGCGCCATGAACGGAATGGCATTTATTGCCAACTCCAAGTCCAATGTCAACGCTTGGGGGGCTTTGGGAAACCCCGGTTGGGACTGGGACACCCTCAGCACATACTACAGGAAGGTCTTCACTCTGACGTTGCCGTCTGAGGATAAGCGCAAGGAGCTAGGTCTGGAGTACGTGGATGAGCACGTCAACAGAAACAATGGGCCCATTCAGGTATCCTTCCCAGATGCTGTTGATGACCCAATTCCCAATGCGTGGGTTGAGTCCTTGCGGGGATTGGGCTACCCCATGTTGACTGATCCCTTTTCCGGACATGCGTGTGGCGGTTATACCAATGCAACAACTATTGACCCTGTCAAGAAGACTCGTAGCTTCTCCGCTAATGCATACTACCTTCCTGCGAAAGAGCGCGAGAACCTACATGTTGTGACGGAAGCATTGGTTGAGAAAGTACTCCTCGAGGCTCTTCCCAATGGTGATGTCACCGCCACTGGAGTCAGGTACATGAAGGATAATGGCATCGTCAAGGTTACAGCCCGCCGGGAAGTTATTCTCTGCGCTGGTACCTTCAACTCGCCAAAGATACTTGAGCTCTCGGGAATTGGCTCGCGTACCATCCTAGAAAGCTTTAATATCCCAGTGATAATTGATAACCACAATGTCGGAGACAATCTTCAGGATCACCCTTTAGCCGGGCTTAGCTTCGAAGTACAAGACTTTATCAACACGAAGGATGATTTCATGCGCCGAGTCCCCGAGGCTCTTAGTGCAGCAATGGAAAGCTACAAAACGCATCAGTTCGGTCCCTTCACAATCGGTGGCAACTACTCCTCTGCTCTTCTTCCACTGCCCGACTTCTCCAATCCCAGTACCGGCTTTGACGAGCTAGCCACTGTTCTAGCCATGACTATACCTGACTCGTCCCACCCCCTCGCTACTGGCCTTGCCTCCTATGCGCGGTCGCTCCTTGAGAACCCACAGGAAGCCACTGGTGGGTATTTCACCTACCCGGCCCAGTCTGATTTCAAGGGATTCGGCGCAGCCGTGCAAGTGATCCAGTCGAAGCTCCCCGAGAACTACATCACCATCTGTGCCAGTCTGATGCACCCATTGTCGCGCGGCACCTGCCACATCTCATCTGCCAACCCCGCCGACTACCCCATCGTCGACCCTCGCTACCTGACCCATCCCGCTGACCTAGAGATGCTCGCCCTACACACCCGCTTCATCGACGTGATTGCCGCATCGCAGCCCCTTGCATCCATGCTGAAACTGGGTGGTAAGCGGAGTGTGGGTTCGCCTGATGACTTACGGAAAATTCCACTGGACGATGTTAAAGAATACGTAAAGTGCGCCGGGAAAAGCACATTCCATCTAACTAGTACCTGCGCCATGATGCCCTGGGAGAAAGGTGGCGTTGTGGACTCCCGCTTGCAGGTCTGGGGTGCAAAGGGACTGCGCATCGTCGATGCTAGTGTTATCCCGATTATTCCCAGGGGAAATACCCAAAGTGTTGTTTACGCCATTGCTGAGAGAGCAGCGGATTTGATTAGAGAGGATTTGGCGGGAAAGTAGATCGGACGTTGCAAACTTGTCAGCGAACGTCCAGCGTAACATCTAGAAGATGATACTGGTAGGGAGTAATTTGAAATAGGAATGAAGGAAAGAACTGTCATTGAATGTATGAAGTCATTGTAGCCTCGTCGTTGGAGGGTTCGTTATCTGTACTCAGAGAATTGCAGGTGTAAGGGCTCGTTTGACGTACAATTAATATATCAGTAAAGTGCTTGGGTGGGTGAACCACCGGCGACTCCGTCCTGTTGTATATTTCTTTTAAAACGTTTGCTTTTCGAAATCCCTTCTTGCGTGTTTCTTTCCTCTTCTTTTTCTTGAAAAAAGTGGCTGTGCTGATTTTCTTCGTCGCCGCCCTCAGCTGAAGTTGCGTAAACCTCTACTTTGTTACCTTCCGTGGACGAGCTCTGGTCGCCCAAAGAATAAGAGTAAAACCAGTACATTACGATCTTTGCTGCGCATGGACATGGACCATGATTGTCATGGGATTGCCTATCATTCTGGTGCGTTCAAGAGCTAAAACAAATGACCAGCGTGTCTCGGCGCTTCTTACATGGAACACAGATCTAACCAAAACTACTAGCTTGGTGACCCTTGTATGTTAGTACCATAGCCAAGGGGAGTAATATTCGCTAACTATATGAACGCGTGCACATTCACTTTGCGGTAGTAAACGTGCCTATTTATACTAGTAAGACATGACCCTTACACTTAGGGAATCTTGCGTCGGAGTTATATTGTATGGGAAACGTGGGATGCTTTCCCAGGAGTGGGAATTGTACGATGTGCCCTAACCAACAGACTCTCACCGCAGTTGTCATTGTACTAGTTGTGTGATAACCTTCAAGACTCTTGTCAACAAGCCATGTATAACTTCCTCGAAGGGTAAGCTACTGTCTAGCAAACGCGACCTTCCTGGCCAACCAGCAGCCGATCACAACACTAGCGATATCACCATGGTCATCACGCTGGAATACTACAGTCCAGCTTCCGGGCGCTGGAGCATCTAAGCCTCGCGGGCATGACAGAAGCCAGATATCCTGCCCAAGATATCGCATGAGGTGCGGAGGTCCTTGGCCCAAGTATCCTTCAAAGTTACCATATAGCATACCACCTTTGCCACTGCAACGAAAGGTCGACTCAACTTCTGCGCAGTAATATTCGCCGACGTAAAGGTTTTTAGGTGGTTGCTGGCCAGTAGCAACACGCTCGGCATGGATGACATGATTGTCGGCTAAACGATGGAGTGTGAGGGTGTCACCATTTATTGTGGCAGTTGTATCACTTGATTGAGCTTTGCCCTCCTCAATACAGGCCAAGGTCTCTCCAGAACCCCCGTACGTGACGGTCAAATGGCCCTGACGGCCGTGCCCAACCTCAACAACCAGCCTGGCATCCGGGTGGTAGAAAGTGCCAAACCAGTCTGGGGAGGGGTTGACGAGGTCAAGTCGAGGATTCTGGCCCTTGGAAATGTTAAAGACACCTTGCATAATATCCTGGGCCACCGCTTCTGCATCAGCCTCATGGTTGAGCATAACTACGATTGCGAGCCTCTCTGATGGGGCCTGGATTCTATGGAGGCGGAATCCACGAAGAGCTCCCCCATGACCGATCGTAGGCACGCCCCTGACAGTACCGTGCTTCAGGCCGTACCCATAGCGTGCAATTGTGCCATTCTTGAATGACTGTTCTTCCGCGATGGCACGATACAGACTTTGCTCGTCATCCCAAGAAGTCTGCAGATAATCTTCATATGCAATCATGTCTTTGAGGGACGCCACAACCCCTGCATCGCCAGACCATTGCATGCGGTTGATGGCTGGAATAAAGCCAGAAGACTCGGATCCTTCATACCCAACACAAGGTGGAGGGAGATTACCGTTGTCCGGGCACAAGCAGGCAGTTGTCATCCGAGCCGGCGAGAAGAGCCTTTCCGCGAGTAGGTCGCCTAGGGATTGTCCACTCACCCTCTCGATGAGTCGGGCGAGGATGTGGAAGTTCAAGTTACAATAGGAATACTGCGTACCAGGTTCGAAATGCAGAGACCTTGTCCGGTCAAGTGCCTTCTGGGCGTCTTCTTCGAGTCGAAATTCACCATCAGGATGGGCACCCCAGAACATGGACATCGCCCAGTAGTCTCGAATGCCAGACTGGTTATTACATAGGTGCTCCAACTTCAGTGCGGTGTTTCCAGCCAGGTCGGGATGTAGCATTTGCTCCAGAGTGTCCGGAAACTGCCGAGACACGTTGCCCCGCTTCAGCATCTCTGGGGTGGGGTTACGCTCCAGATCTTTCAGTATCATGCACACCATTTGTTTCGTGATCGAGCATATTGGCATCAACATAGATGAGGTCATCGGAACCAGCTTTTGCAAATCCGCGTAGCCCCAGACGTGCTCGCCGACGAGTTTGCCATCCTTCAATACGGCAGCCGCTCCGCCCGGGCCTCGATAGACAGACGAGGCGTTCTCGAGGATATCTTGAATGCTTGGATTCACTAAGATTGAATTCTCTTTAGCCAACTTTCACGCCCTCTCACAATGGCATTGAATTCCTTACTAGCTATAAATGGGACGAATATGCTGTATGTGTCATAGAGAAATGGTTCCCTTACAGAGCCCAGCTACGGAGAAAAAGGAAGCTTAATTTGTATCAGAAAATTGGCACTAACTCGAAATGGTGCCCGAGAATAACCAGACATCCCGGTCGATATCAAAACCACCCCTGATCTAATCTACCAACTCGGTTGGTGGCTGGGTGCCACCTTCCCACTTTCACTTGTTAGGGCTTTTCCACTCGGTAAGCATGCGTCGAGCGATCCCGTGTATTTAAGCATGAAGAGCTAAACTAGATAAAATATTAGCAACGATTGTCTTTGGCGACAGTATCGAGTACCTCATCATGGAGGAACCCTACGGTCCGAATACCCAATAATAAATATTGAAAATATGACCGTGTCAAGATCCGCTCAGACTTTTACCTGGGGACAGGGGCAAGTTGTTCAAAGTTGTGTTGTCAAAGATGTATACTACGCCCTGTACAACAGTAATGCTACGGAAGATTGTCATCTTCTCCAAGTAGATATCTCCTCTGCTGGAGCGACCAATCAGTACGGGACAGGTAGCAAGCACAACCGGCCGTTATGATCCTTCTAAAATAATTGCAGTGGAATCATGGTGGCGTTATTCAGCGTTAAGGTAGTAACGTACGTGGCGTACATTCCGAGTCATGCAATTTCCGGATCCACAGCACTGAAAGACCACAGCCGACACTCAAACATGTACATACGGAGTACAAGGGCAAGATATGCAGCTTCAACCAATGGTGGGTGAGAATAGGTGACATCCATCCATTGCCCGAGCCACCCGTAAGCCATAGTGCATTGAACTCCAGCCCGGCCACACAAAGAAAAGCTACAGATAAAAGTCAGAAATAGAGGGTTCCTTTGCCCTAGGTGCCGAGTGTGTGTAGTATTCAATAAAATGCCGCACCCGGAGATTAATATTGCTGCGATCCGCTATGTAATGATGAATCTGATAAAGAGACCGATTGAACCCACTTCCCCTTTTTTAGGGTCCTTTAGTGATTAAATATTTCCCTCTCCGCACATAGCTCTGGAGGAATCAGTCTCGGCGTGGCAGAATCACAATGCAGCAGGCTCTGGCCATCCTTGCTCTATATCTATCAGCCCTGGCCGTTGGCCAAGGCCTCCCTATGAATAATTTCATACCTCCTCCTCGTCCTCCTCATCCCCCACCAGTGGAACTCATAGCAACGAATTTACACAAGAACTGTAAAGACTTTGAGATTTCCTCCGCGCGCCGTGATGGATCAGTGAGGCGGCCAGGCTCACCAGACTCAACCGCATCATACTCAGGGTCAGAAGCCCGGCGTATGCGTCGCGCAGATGATGTAGATGGCGACGTCCTCATCGCAAACTGCAAGAATCCTCAAGGCATAGTGCACGAGGTCACTCTGAGCCTCAACCGATGTTTTGGCTGGGATCCCGAGAACATAGGTCTTACTGCGCAGTTGAAGTATGCATCTTGCTTTGCTATAGCTATTGTTGCTGTAGCAGGTGGACTGTCCGTTCTTTATAATCAATGGCTAATGGCACTTAGTGGATATGGACTTCAGAGAGGCGGATGCGTCAACTGTAGATATGCGCGAGGGCCACAGCCATCCGATCCTGGTACAATATTCTGTACCTGCAAGACAAACCCGCGACTACAACAACCAAACCATAACATTAGGTTTTCGATAGGCAAGTGTCCACTGGGTGTTGAGATATCCTGTTACTAACAGATCTGACAGGTGGTGTCATCCAATATAACGCCAGGTCTGGGCTTATCAGCTGCCATGGTGTGGAAGGGACCGATTTGGGACCAGTGCCTCCTGCCCCACGTGGAGACGAAGCTGTTTAGATGTAGATTGTCAGATATCTCCCCAGATATGCTGCAATATCATCTGTCGCGATCCGCCGTGTTTATTCTGGAAAAGCCGGTCATTATATCACAAGGTCATTTGGGGCGACTAGATATGTATTTATCACTGTCACATATTTAACAACCTGGCGACCCTGGTATTTGGCGACAAGAGCTCTAATTCCCCTCCTGTAAGCTATTCGATGTATATTTCATAGCCTATTTCCTCTCTGACCTGTAGACATTAGGCCTTCTGATATGCGCAGAGCCGCCGTCTAAAGCGGGTATACGTACTAGAAACATGCGTGCAGACCCCCTAAGCTGTAAGTACCTAGCCACATTTTAGATGTATAAACCTAGACGATCGTCTAGTTGGACAGCCATCTCTATCGGCACATACCTGTCTGGCTGATCTTAGCTCATTCATAGTTGTTTATTCATACCGCAGCAGTACCCGGTGTCAAATATATATTCCTACCTAACTGTTCAAGTTGGTAAATGCCGACTGCCAGTGTTAGATGCTCAATTCCCAGTAATGGGAAGGTCATAGGAGATAATAGGCCATGCGACAAAGGCTCGCCCCCTGTTTGACAGGGTGAAGACGTTGGAGCCTCAGCCATATTTTAAAGGGGAAAATGAACTAGACGAGGTCGTTTAGCCCACATTTGGAGCGTACGATTAGGACGGGGAGACTGCTATAGCATGTCTAGAGAAGCGAAGATGGGAGGTCTGCATGATTGCTTTAGGATGATAGATATGGAAGTATACACCTGCTGAATAAATAAGCAGGATTATCGAAAATAAATACAGAATGAACGCTTACCATGACTCTTACTGGGGTTGTGGAGTGCAAGCTATTCGGGTGGTATATATTCCTATCCAATAGCAGATAGCCATCCCTACCAGCAAAGGAGGTGCAGAAGGAAGGAATAGATTCTCCAGCATGGAAGTGAACAAATCATCTTCCTTCAATACCAGCCAGATCAACAGATGATGCATCGAGGGTTATTGATTCCGATTGTATTTATGGTTGTATGCAGCATTCATCTTTCTTAAGCACTCACAAAGACCAGGAGTAGAATACATGATATCGCTCGTGTCTAATCTGCCGCTAAGTGTCTAGTAGAGCAAATTGAAGCAACGAGCAGGATTGCTGCTTCTCATAAGGATGGTATAGAGGTCTGGATTTAGACGACATGGTATGTTTTGACATAGGCCATGGTGGTCAATGCCCCTTGCAGTCTTTGAAGAGATCCTCTGGCTTTTATAAGGGTATTCAGGCACACCGCTGCACTCTGCAAAGGTTCAGCCATTTGAGCCCGAGTGCTCGGCATACGTATCCCAAGCAGGGTGGCTATCAATGCAAGTAACGATAGAGTTGTGTGTTAGTCGTCGGTGGCGTTAAGGCTGTGAAGCAGGTGGATATTGCTTCGTGATCTGCCAGAATAGGATTTGTTGGAGTCCTGATGTGTGTTCTCAGTTCACATACATTTTCCGCGGTCGAGGATGCTGCATATGGTTGCCTTGTCAATTTAACAATGGCGGTGAATCACTCAAAGGCTCGTATAGTATAAAAAATCTAGATTATCGTTGATAGATGCCTGGTTGTATCGCAACACTAAGATCTATTAATTGCTGATTTTGCTGCCCAAAGAGGAGGCTTAATCCCCAGCCGAATGACATTCTGCCTCAACGTAGAGCCCGTGAGATGGGTTTACGGTCTTGCTTAGCAGATTGGCTCAAGACCGAATATGCCAGGTCGTTTCAAGCTATCCAGTATATGCCGGCATGGTCTAAGGGCCTGGCTATTTTGACGGCACTGTGGGCTAACCTGTTCCAGGAACAATAAAAAAGATAATTCACCGAGACGGGCACGGGAAATGAATAAGACGCTAGGAATAGAAAATCACAAAAGATGCAATCTGAAATTAACTGCATAACGATCTACCTGATCTCAGGCGTCACGGAAATGACATCGTCCAGGTAAAGGATATAAGTCGGTAATCCTAAAGTTGGTCCCGTCCTGTTAGCTACTCCAGAAAAGCCAGCCTCCTAAATGACTGACCACCACCTGCACATTCTTTACAGGTGGTACTGAATCCAGTCAAGGATCTCGGGTAGAGTGGGATCCTCTACAATCCAATATCCTGCCCGCATGTCTGCGTCCCGCAGATCATCCACAGCGTACTGGTCCGTCAAGCGCGCCATTTCCTATTGTGTCCCCAGTCAATCAAGTGTTTGCGGATAAAGAAGCACATGGCATAATTCACCTGTCGGAATGAGTTGCCAAGGGAGTTCAGCGGAGCAGTATGCTGGATCCCTGCCGGTCCTCCCCGTACGATATCCTGTCTGGAGATGGCCCATCTTTTGGCGACTGCTACTCGGAGATAGATGCGGTGCGCTTGGAATCGCCGCGCGCTTGCGTCGAGGATAGTTCTAAAGACAGTCAGGACATCCCTAGCCAATTTGTATAGGGCCTAGTCCCCGTACCTCTGCAGTTCGGCCTTCTCCGTCTCCGTGTTGGACTGGGTAGGTGCCACGATGGGGTTATAGTTGGCTGATATCAGTGCCTGGGCTGCAGCCAGGCCTGCTCTAAGCTCTTTGTACGCCTCATCGTGGTAATCGTCCGCTGGAGTTTGTACAGTATGCCTAGCGATGTGCATAAGGAGGGTTCGATAGTCGTTGATAAGCTCGGCTACCCGCAAGGCACGTGCTCCGTTGACTTGTTGAAGTGTCACTGCTACCGACCACCAGAAAATTCGAAAACAGTGACAGAAAAGGATACTCACGCCTATCGACCATGGTTTTATCAGCTAGCCACTGGATTGTGACGGGTGCACAATCGTGGCCAAGAACGAGAGAGGGGCTGTATCAGTTGTGAACGGTCAGAGGAATAGGGCAACGACCAGGTCAATCCGCCGGCAAGGAACACAGTACGTCTCTTTGGGGAACCGAGCGTCTATTTTGTCTATTGCGCTCCCATCTTCGAGGGTCTGCTATTCTTTTAGGTTCGGCCTAGGGTATTTATGACAAGCGTTAGCGACGGGCCCGAGCAAAGTGAAATGGCTCCAGGATTATCATCATTTGCGGTCATGCTTAACTGAACCTACCGATGCCGATCCAAAAATGTCAGGGGCCACAGGTGGGAACTTAAGTAGTGACCAACATGCTGGGCTGGTGACAGGCCACAAACCTCAGAGACACCTTTCTACAAGGACTTGCAGTATGTGCACTCGAGTCAAGGGCGGAATATTAGCCAAGCGGGGGGGACTCAGCAGTCGAGCAATAGTGGGATCGATGCTGATAGGCCTAGTTATGTGTAAGGCCGTTACAGATACGCAATGTGGCCCACGTGAATTGACGAGATCAGAGGGGAGCAATCGCGCAGAGGCTTTGGTGCATAGGACACGAAACCTAAACCGAAGATAAAGTCCAAGACCAGTCAAACTCAACGCTGTTGATCGTAGATGCAAAATTGATGCATCCCAGCACATCATCCCAACGGTAATCTAAAATCAACAAGGGGAATTTTGGTTTTGTGACCTCGGAACCTAGTTCCAAGCCCAGTGGGGCAAGACTCAGAAGAATTCTCTCGCGGCACTTGAAAATGAACGCGAGGGTACGGCCTCCCCGAACAGAAGGGAGATCATCCGCCCTCGCTTAACCCCGCCTCCTCGATGTCCATAGTGGGATTATCTAGTAAGTTTCGTGGAAAGCGAAGACCGCTGGAAAACTTGCTGTGCAGCCATCATTGGACTGTGAACTTGTGATGGACAGAAAGAGCACCATAACAGGAACGCAGGGAAGGTGAAGATGAATACCATAGCTTCAGCCCAGCCACTGGGTGGGTAAGGGGCAAGGATAGATATATACGTGGGTTGTTCTTCCTTTCATTCCTGCTATGGAAACGGGTCACCAGGTGGACCCTGATAAAATTGGGCTTCGGCTACGTAAATACGTCTATTGCTAGATGTTCTATAAATACAGAGCTGATCCATCTGCTCTACGACCTAAGGTTGTGTTTCCCGGTAGTCGAATAATGCCTGTTCTCTATCTTTCAGTTTATCCTATGGCATGGCATTCAAAGTTATATCAGTATATACAAGCGGTGATATCTTCCGGTCCACAAATGACAAAGGGTTGAAACCCAACTTGCCCCAACATCGCAATCCGGGTGTCCTAGAGTCACATTCCTGACAATAGGTACCAATTGCAAGGGAATCGGTTATGCTGGTGAACTAGAACACCTCCAGTACAACGGGTAATGTTTAAACTTAATATTCCGTTCGAAGTGGGGGTGATCAATCCTTCTCTCTGTTGGGCGACGCGGTGCTTTGCGCGAAGAAGGGGAAAGCGCGCTTAGCCTGACAGGGCGCATGACTTACAACAACCCTCTTGGGACTATTGCGAGTCGGGACCAAACGTTTCTAGTTCCGCGAGCCTGCGCTCCAAGTATGCGCATTCTTCTGCTATCCTGTTGACCGAATCTGACTGCAACATATATGCATTGCGACCTTCGTCCGTAAACTTGCATTCAGCAGGCGTGCCTCGTAGACAGCACGGTGTACAGGGCATGAGATGATCGCACTGCAGTAGTATGCTTGTTAGCCCTCCCCCTGTATCGCGTATTGTGTATTGTGTAGAATCTTGATACCCAACTAAAGGAGTAGGGCGCGTAGATGGGTATGCACAACAACTCGCCTTCACTCTACGCCTATAGCACGGAAGGCAGGAGAGGATCGGTCGTCTCTTCTTTGTTTCAAGGCTCTCAGAAGAGAGAAATTCTGGGTTTGAACCCATGCAGACGGCCACGGGAGAGAGATTCTGCTCAGATATACCGCCACAATAGCATCAAGAAAGAATAATATGATATCACCGTGAATACAGTTAACTAGGCCAATGGTCCATCAATCACCGCGTGAGCTACATTTAAGAGAAGGTTCTGAGTGCAACCCCTACGTGTAACCCCGGACATCACATAGACATGTAATTTCAACAGGCTTCTATAGCCCCTTCCCGGTGGCGATTTCCGGGTATGCAGCATGGGGGTCACCGGGTTCCCTACCGCTGCTAATGACCCCGCAGACTGTGGTGTCATCGAACCGGCGTCCTCCATTTTGGCTGTACAGTCTGAGTCCTCGACTCCTGAGTCAGTTGGGCTTGGATACCTGAATACCGGTACAGCAGTCAGAGTTATGAGCTGCAGTATTGGAAAAATGCAGTATGAACCAATATGAGGCATATCAATCATAGAGCATCCTGCAGAGCTCATAAGAAGCAGGTTCTTGGCGGCTTGACCGCTATAAAAATGGCGTTCCCGGTGGGGAGTGGCGTCACCCTGGATCTGGGATGCGGATGCAGGGGATCTGCAGTATTATGTACATCCGCCATATTTGGGCGTATGTCCAGTGTTTCGATTGCAAGTGCTAAAGGCTTATATCTTTTGCACTTGAGATCTGGTAGTGGGACGGTCATGTACGGCTGCCGCCGCGTTGTGAACGAGATGCAGGGTCTCCCAAGGAAAGAGTAATGACTATCGGTGCCCTTCCCATGCGTATCAACAGGCAAGAATAGCATTACGTGTCTAAAATATATACCCGCCTGCAAATGCACTGAGGAAGGGACTATAGTACATACAGCATAGGACACACACGACAACCAATTTCATAAATGCATAAGGGGGCCCCGAAGATCTCCGAGATCCTCACTAGCTGGATTAGTGAACAGCATATTCGGTACCTGCAGCAACTCGAGCCATTATGGGAAGGAGTTGGCGTCAAAATGTTAGACAGATGGGTCTCTGTGGGACAGGTCTTCAACGGGGGCCTCTATTCGGCAGTTGCCGCTGGATCAGCCTCGATCGCAACCGTGCGTATTGAGATCTTTCGCCACAGGAGTGTCATTTTTTCCCTGAGCCATGGAAGCAGCCACGTAGCAATACGAGGGCACTGCATATGGCTTTTCATGTTTCCTAGGGCTGTCCTTATCCCCAATACCTCGAATTTAGTTTTGAACGGAATATGCTGTAACTTCACAGAGTACATGTCATCACTTCCACCGTCGTTTGCCAAACTCAATCCAAATGAAAACTTTATACGAGCTCGACGTCCGGGGCTCCGCTGGGTGCCACGATATTAGACAACGAGCAATCTCTGAGCCATAGATTCTAGATTCCTGGCTTTACGTCGCTCGCGGCACTCATTTTAGGTTAGTACCCACTCCATGTAGTTTCTTGGCCACTGGACGCTGCACACCCCTTTGTCTCAATGATACAGCAAGTTAGGATAGTCTACATTAGCCTAAAGCCATCCAAACATTGGTTTGCGAGGCGCCTTGAACCAATCTCTCCTGTCAGTAGCATGCAGCATGAATCGGCCGATCAATGTATTTTCGGCCGGATGTCCGATAAGATAAGGCGGAGCATTCGGGAAAGAGATGAGAGGAACGAATCCTCACCCAATGAAAGTATCAGAGAGACCTACTAGACTACCAGGTTTGGTGCTTGAACCCACTTCACGGCCTTCGACGAATCCGCCGTCTTACCCACGGAAGGGCACTCCAAACCCCCACAATGTCTGCTTTTTACGCGATGGAGTTGTCTTCAGTCCTTCTCCATTATGCATATCAGATAGATACTACTTGGTATCCATTTTTCGTGGATCGTCCTTGCTGCTGCATGAAGCACACTTTCCAATAGTTTACAGGGGCCTGGTGACCCAAAGAAGAAGTGGAATGCCACCTAATCGGCGCTGCAATTCCACCACCAACGCCCCGATCAGAAGACGCGCTGAATGGCATAGGGGAAACTTTGTGATCCACATAGAGAAAATCTCTAATTTACCGGTAAGGCAGAGAATGAGACTGTGCGTCCGTTTCGTGGTATCGAAAGATCTTGCAATTATATTATCCTGGCGACGTGTCCGCCCTGCGTGATCGCGCCCAGTCCAGCGTTCGAATAAATTCCTTTTCCATCAAATCATAGACATTCATAAGACGGCCCTCGAGGACTGCCCGTGACGGTGTAGTATAACATATAGCCGCGATATCTCTTCGGATAGCATGAACTGCAGCCGAATCATGTCATCAATGTCTCCCAGAGGGGATAGACTACCCATGTCGTTCTGATATATTGTTGCAAGTAGTTTTCTAGTCAGCATCGCGGCATGTTGACTTAGTTCCATGATCTGTAGGATTCAGTACAACGCTAGGAGTATATGCTGAAGGTTGTGGACGCACTCGGTCGATTAGCAAAGAGATATCTGCATTCGGCTTGGTCGAGATGGCAGGCTCCTGGGTGAGAATGTTAGCCAGATACCATGCTCAAACAGAAGGCCCATCCTGAGGTAAGTAAACCATTGTCATTTTCATTTTCTCGTGCATATGTTCTTGTGTTCTTGATTTTGGGGTGTGTCTCAAGTCTTGATTGTTTCCCTTTATCTGTCTGTGGGACGCCCACTCAAACCTAAATAATGAAGGATCGGGACATTGTGCGAGGCCTAATTTTGGTTCGATCTAATGAATTGCTTCTTTTCTGGTAGAGCCAATAATATATGCAAGGTGTCGGAACTAAAGACTTTGTGAGCGTCTTGCCATTTATGTACTCCGGCAATCTTATATTCTCCTTTTCAGACGCCCTGTTACTATCAGGTAGCAAAGGGATCAATAACCGTAGGTACTACTACGTAAACATGTTGACAGCAGGTGCTCATTTTCTGGAACAATAGGCCTGAAGTTGGACCGAGCATAATTATTTCCTGATGTAGTCTTCTGTTCCTTGAGAAGGGCGACTTCCAAATTGGGTG